CTAAGCTTACGTAGTATATACTATTAATATCAGTATTGTAGGCATACTACGGTAATGTACTGACAGTGATGCGACTTGGTGATGGCTCTCCATTTTCTAACGTAGTACACAATGTATGCATGTCGAACATACTGGCACGAGTCATAATGTAAGCGCCCAGCACACCTTCACTAACGTAAGTATACTATTAATACTAGTAACGTTAGTAATTACAAGTAGTAGTATACTATTTTCATAGTATACTACTAATACTTGTAATATTGCGCAGCATACTATTTTAATAGTATGCTGCGTACTATTTTAATAGTATGCTGCGCAATATTACAAGTATTAGTAGTATACTATGAAAATAGTATACTACTACTTGTAATTACTAACGTTACTAGTATTAATAGTATACTTACGTTAGTGAAGGTGTGCTGGGCGCTTACATTATGACTCGTGCCAGTATGTTCGACATGCATACATTGTGTACTACGTTAGAAAATGGAGAGCCATCACCAAGTCGCATCACTGTCAGTACATTACCGTAGTATGCCTACAATACTGATATTAATAGTATATACTACGTAAGCTTAGTTTACATGAAAGTTCTGTATGCGTGGAATAACGCAAGGACTACCTGTAAGGCAATAACCATAACAATACATCAAGTCTTCTCAAAAAAGAGTTTAACGTTAGCGATCTCCCTATTAGGGGCTAGAAGTGGCGAGATACGTGTGTTTTGTGTTGGTCAAGAGGACATATAATCAAATATGGCAATTATTGGTAATACATTTATTTGATTGGACCGTCCAAAATAAATGGAAATAGAAGTAAATGAAGGCTAAGATGAAGTCGTCAAGCCGGTTATATACTGTACTACGTAGTACTTCGAAGTAATAAAGAAGAATGCCATCCAGCACTTTTCTGAATTGAAATGCCCATATGCAATGGTGCTTGTCCCAATACCTAAGGAGGCGATAGATTGCTGTGAATCAGTCACGGCAATGATGAAACACGTCGATGGTATATGATAGTTTAAAGCACCATTGAAAGTCGAACGCATCAGCACCCTTCGACGTTGGACGGGAATATATCCACCGATTGCAACCACTCGACGTGTTGATAGGCGTCGGCGTCGTCTGGTTCCTCGGCTGTGTGCATCACATTGTCCCATATGAAATCCGTATCCATCCAACAAGAGGCCGTAGACAGGTCCAAATCTTGGAGATTCCAAATGTCCGACTCCACAAAGGGTAAGCTACTGCCACTGGGATGTCGTGAGGGCGACTTTTTAGGGGAGGGGGGTGACGTCTGTGGTGTGGGGACTAAGTTGGATATCTTGGCTTTCTACCAGGGACAACCAGTCAATCATAACGTTATTCGGTATGCAGTCAAGCCAGACTTGTTAGAAGGTGTACCTTGACGCTGGCATGCCAGTGGTTCTTGACGGCATTGTCGGTTCGACCTGGCAACTTCTCGGCAATGAGGGACCAGCGATTTCCATGTTCAACTTGCAACGCCACAAGCAGTTTGTCTTCTTCGGGAGTCCATGCCGCCTTGCAGATAGAAGGGTTCAATTGATTGCACCATCTACGTGCACACTTGTTGTGAGGTGTCAAGTGGGTTGTGTACTGAGTAATCTTCGTCATACCTTTCGCGACATTGTTTTCCACTTCGACCAGGAAGGTACGACGCAATTACACCCCACTTGTGGGGGCCTAGCCCCCGTACCAATGACATCATGGCTTGGTCTTCTGCGTCGGTCCATGGCTGCTTCCCCATTGACTTTTGCGAGAGCAGCTTCCACCGGTGCTGACAGTCTCGGATTGTTTTGCTCGAGCCAAAGAGGTGTAACACCCCCCGCCACTGCTTGCCGCCGTGGAGATACACATAGTCGCGGAGGGTTTGATCCTACAGATGGAATATTCAACGTTAGTTTGGCGACAGGCGGGGGGTACTGTATCACTTCGATGGGCGTCCACTGGGCGGTAGGGGCCATGGTAAAAATTGAAAAATGGTGTGGCGATGTGCCTACGTCGCACAGTATGCCGAGTGGATTGTCGTACCAGAATAAAAAACGAGTCATGGTGACATGTCCTCCGAGCTAGAATCGAAAAGCCTGCGAAATGTAGTTTTTCGGTGACCGATGTGGAACAGAAGGTTCGAAATCATCATCGAACCTCAATGCATGGGACACGACACCAGTGGGATTTGGGTGCGTTTACTTACCCGGTGGTAAATATACATGGGACAAGACGGAATTCCAAGTTTTCGCCTGTGGTTGTCGTACATATATACAGCATGATGCCCGGTAACAACGCGCCCACTGCATTGGACACGGGGGGGGATTGTGAAAACTGAGGGGAATTGTAGGGTGCGAGCGCTATGGGGGCGTACATATACAAGTAGGTTTGACGGTATGATTGCTCATATTTACGTTGTTGAAGTATTCATGCATAACGGTCTTGAACTGAGTGATACCTTAGCACGTATGATTACTGACAAATGTGTATACCCCCTTAGCACGTCCAAGAATAGATTGACCCACGCGGGACGAGGCGCATGGTCCTGAAAACAAGCGATGACACTGCCGACGCAAGTGCTGCCAAGTGGACGCTGCCACGTGAGCAAGCTGCATCCACGGACGTCCGGTGTCCGAATTGCGGAGCCACACACCCAAACCCCGACCTGGCAGACACGTATCGGCATTGCCACAGTTGCGCCAAAGTCCTGCGCGAGTCCTCGGTGTGTGTGTTGCCCCATCTCCAGCGCAATCAAAGTCGGAGGGCGTTTGAAGGGCAGAATCGGCTGGCGGTCATTGCAGCGTCGTTCGGTCACGCCTCCGACTCAAAACGAGCCATTGCAGTGTTGGCCGAAGTCCAAGCGCTTGTGGCGCACTCAACCACCCACAGTCGACTCCACCTCCCCGCGGGCACGCCGTTAATGTCTAGTTATTTCTCCAAATATGCCGACCCTGCCCCCAGCGAGCGCAAGGTGTGTCGCCCTCGCGAACCCTTCTCGTGAAAAGTTGGTGATGGCTAGGTGCTTTGCTTGCGCTACGTTGTCCCCAACTTAAACCCCGACTTGACTCGACACGGTGAAGTGCGGTGCGAGGCGGGGACTGACGGCGCCTTGGTATTGCCGCTGACTTTGCACTTTGCGGTCGACAGCTTGCCAAAGCTATGGATTAACCGGGCAACATATGGTCACCGCCACTCCATCACCCCGGTAGATGCATAGTCAAGTCTATTCTTAGTGACAAAAAGGGGGTGACAGGGACTTGTATTTGATGTGGCGGAACGGCTGACGGGGCTGGCCGATCTCAACGGAGGCGACTTCGTATCGGTGGCTGCCACGACCGACCTCACAACCTTGTTTGGTGAGCCATGCGACGCCATTGCCAAGGTAAAAAACAAAATCTTACACCACGTTGTTGTGGTATTGATGTGCGAGAGGGGTAGACCCTATCTGTCGAGTATGAGATCATCGGGCGGTCCGGCCAAGCGAGGCAGTATGAACTCGACGGCCACCTTGTGCAAGCGATAGTCATCCAAAACCTCCCCGTGGTGGGATGATGATCATCCTCATCTTTCGTAACAACCAACCAAACGACTTTATTGTAGGTCGGTCCCGGGGTGTTGATTGAACGGGCAGAGTACGGCTGGTTGCCCAAAGACTTGGATATGAAATTAACTGAAGTACACGCCAAAGCCAAGCTATCGACGTGCTCCGACGACTTGTCCAAGTGGCAAGCCCTTCGAAATGCCAACTCATCGCCCTGCCATCTGCGTACGTAACGACCCCCCCCCGCCCTTCCACATGAAAAGATAAAACAAATAAACAAATGGACTATAGCGGTGGCAGCCGTTCTTCAAGCTCGAATAGACAAGGCGCAGGTGCCAGGATCTGAATTGAATATTGGCACGGACGAGAACTTGAATGCACTCTTTGGAGACCCGTGCCCTGGCCTTTCTCGATTCCTCGTCGTAGAGTACTCCCTTTTGGGCTACGGTAACAACAGCCCACATCAATGTGCAATATGGATCACAATTCTTCACAGGGGAGACTGGATCGGACGATGAAATCATCAAGAAAGGAGGTGGTCAAAGCCGGAACTTTTGCATGTGCAAAGGGGGAAAGCTGCGACTTCACGTGACGGCCGAAGGCTTTTTGGTCAAACCCATGTCCATTTCCAGCCAAGAGGTCCACACCATTCTCTGGATATGTTCCAGGGTTACAGTGTGTGTTGTGTGCGCAGGTGTTTCCCTCGTTAATAGTGTCCAGGGCGTATTTTGGACATCCCACCAATGTGCTCAAAACATTTGACGTGACCGAGCCTGTGGGGGTACTCGCGGCCAAAGGTACCGAACGTAGTGGTCACACGACGACACAGAACAACATGTGATGGTTCCCTTGGTTGTGTCTACAGGCAATGCCGCGAAATCGCTGGTCATATCGAGGCAAATGGATTTGGTGGCGGCCTTCGGCGACCCCTGCCGAGGCATTCGCAAGGCGCTAACGGTCAACTATCAAGTGCTGGGTATGGGGGGAACCCTTGTGCTGCGCATTACGGACGCAAACCGCTTGGCCGGGGGGCTCGTGCTGGGGTACCCCCTCGATAAAGTCGACGGGGGTGTGGACGGCAAGATGGGGTTCTCAGAACGCCTAGCCATTTCCACAACCCAAACCACCAAACCAACTGCCCGCGAACGGATGCAGAGCAGTGCTAGCCAGCGCCTCTGGTCGTCGTCGAAATGAAGATACCGGTATGAAAAAGTGTTTTTATTATTATTCTGGATTCGGTACAGATTTCCATACCCGAATTTTGGCAGTTTAATGCCAATTCACAATACGGTACTACTGGTATACTGTACCTTGTTTTGCCTTTTTAATCATGAGTATTACTATTAATAGTACTAACGTTAACGTAATACTAACAGTAAGTTACTTTATAGCTTACACATGCAAGGCTGCCGTGGGTGTGTGAAAGGAGGGGGGTACCCAGTTCTTCGAGCGTACATTCGTCAGAAACTATAGTAGTGTGGACAAGAAGTCCGGGGAGTATTTATTCACTTCATCCTTAGTTTCAAGTAAAAATTGAACACAGATATCGCCTTAGCCACCAAAAACAAAACAGTCTATGGGGTGGTCGTATTGTCCGTGGTTTATGGCGCACGCTGGCGGACTCCGCGCTTTTCCAACTTTTGCATGCGCTTGGACACGGCTGCGTCGCCGCCAGTCTTGTCCTAGCGACATGAGAAGGAAGGAACGCGGGAATTCTGCCTACCTCGGACGAAGCTCCTTGGGGAAAGAAGAATCCAATCGCCTTCTTGCCCACGTAGTAGAACACATACCCCGGCACCTACACCCCAATGACGTCGTGACCAGCTGGCGTTGGTGCGATGACAACACGTACCACCAGGTACAAGTACCAAAAGTAGTCGGACACGATCGTGCCAATTTGAACCACCAGCGTCACGAGCAGCACATCCATGGCATACCTAGCCTGCCCGGTGAGAAGGATGGGAGCGCTGGGATAGGTCGTTTTACTCGTTGTTCGTGCCTTCCAGGGCAGAACCCACGGCCATGGTGTAGCTAGCGTATGTTGCGGTCAATATGAGAGCGTACCCCGTAGCATGCCAGGTAGAGAACGTGGCAAAGTGCCACAGAACACGGTACAGTAGATACACCACCTATCATTTCGTAGGTCATGGCTAGATTTGTGGAGATCATACGTACGTTCACGGCCAAGATGGATTGGTTCAGCCTGGCGCTGAGTTCGGACCCAGCCTTTTGTGCCTTCTTCGCCGACTGGCCTGCCTACACTCCATCGATCATGTGTGCGCCGTCCGACCACTCGTACCATGACGCGTTGCGGCTGTTGGAATTCAAAATAACTTTTGTGACAACATCGCTCAGAATAGTCATGTATGTGCGATATCGTTCAGATTAGCGAAGTTGAAGAGACACTTGGCGGAACGATCATGATCGTGCGTGCGATAACGACGTCGACAGCGGCGGCCGAGCGCCGAACAAGGCTCCTTAAAGAGGCCGTCCGAGTCCAAATGATCAGCCTGGCCATGAGTCGCGGGTTGACTTCGGTGGAAGCAGCGAGTCATGTCGACGGAACCATGATGAGCACACGGGAACAACAGCGAGTGTCCGCGTCCTTGGTCGACGCACCCGAGTCGGAGGAGAACCAAGCACCACCATCATCCAACCTGATCAGGGAAATAGTTGGCACAGATGATGTTATCGATTCCACGGCCGTGGCGTGTCGACCGCGAAGCTCGGCTGAGTCCGTGGAACTCTCGTCGAAGCCCAGCCATCCTCCGAACCCACACCAACCCGAGGGCCTTGACGGGGATGCGTCTGCCTTACAGTACACTGACCAAGCTGCACAGGAGTTGATGCACCAGGAACTGAGTGCCTTGACAGCGACCGAGCTGCGAAAGATTGTGCAGAATCATTCTGCCCACCACTCCGACGCCGTCGACTCACGGCTTGAGCGCGACAGCGCAGCGGCGGTGGAAGTGAACGCGCTGGCCGACTCGATGAGCCTCAACAACCAGCTGGATGACGACATGATCCACCGCGTAAAACATCTGTCGATGTGCCAGCAGCAACAGCTGTCCGCCATCGTCCATAAGCAATCGCTGCTCCACGTCACCACCCAAGTCCTCGACATGGTCCGTTCTCTATCTACCACACACACGGGATTGGTTGTCATGTGACAACGTTCGTGTACTGTAGGTGCACTACATGGTGTTTATCAGTGTGTTTGTGATCGTGAGCATGCACGGGCGCCACGACGACTCGCCGTACAAAATGACATTAAGTCTCATGGATCAACTCCAAGACAAGCCATGGCCTTCCCGAGTTACGTCAGTCACCAAGACCTTTCGCGACAACGTCGACTGCATCGACGAGCTGTACGACTATTTGCGTAAGTGGAGGAATAGTCAGATGTAACTTTATTGCACTTCGACATGGCCTTCCTGTAGTGGGTGGTTTCTACGACGTCGTGTACTCTGGGGGGTCTTTTGATGGGGACAACCAATTTCCATCGGGCAACACGTACAGCTCCAGGGGAGTCCTGGGGGGGTACGGGGAAATCTGGGGGCCCATCCGCATTGGCCAGGTTATCTCCACCAAACCACTACCCAGCTAAACGACTACTGTAACTGTAGGTGCGCGTTGTCGGCGTCGAGTGCACTGGCATGCTGATCGAGTCTTCGTTCTTGCGCAACGAATCGACAAAGTGCTTTCCCGAATACAGCGCCGCCACAGCCAGCCAAGACTCGTATGGTCTGCACGGCGCCACGTACTCTTACGATGCCGGCCCAGCGTCCATCGAACCCTCGTTCATCTCTCATTCCGCCAGGGTGTACCCTGCCCCTTCCTTCAATATCTACTTACCCAACCACGAAAATGCTCTGTGCAATTTGGACACACTGGAGCACTGTGACGTGTACGACCAGTTAGCCGCCCTCAAACACTCCAAGTAAAGCGAGCCACCATATTCCCCTTCAATCTACTCGGCCACTACAAATAACTCGCCCTTGTAGATTTTTCGATCGGGCAACTCGCGCCGTGTTCATTGACATGACTGTTTACAACAGAAATGTGCGAGACGTATCGCTGGTGCGGCTGTATGTGGAAGCGTACCCTTCTGGGGGGATGGAGCCCCGCGGACTGTTCCAAACCGAACGGTTATACGCGTACAGTTCGTCCGAGGACGCTGTCAAACTCGTGGGCGAAGCGCTGGTGCTTGTGGCTGTCACGCACCAACTGTATCGCATGGTATGATGTTTATATATATATTGTATCCCAGTCAATTATGATATATATATCGTATTTATCACTCGTGTGTGTAGTATATGTACCCACCCCTCGTGCAGCACGCGTCCAACCACTTGCACGTGTTCAACTTGGGCTTGTTTTACGTAATTGCCGTGTTCAAAGTACTGTCGTACCAATCGTTGCCCGACATAGCTACGATTTCGGCGACAGAGTTTCTGAATTTTCGGTACAATAACTAGTGGTTACTACATGTTACTACATACTATTGATACTAGTCGTTGCTAAGAGAGTTGCTGTAGACAATCCGCCGAGTACTTTTGGATTGCCGAAGCTGTGGCCAGCGTTGTGTGCCTCTTGGCATGGATCAAGCTGTTTTACTATTTATCATGTACAGTACTTATTATATTGGATGGCATTTATGACTATGAATTAATTATTGCACAATCATATTAGTCGTGCCTAAGTTTGCCCAACTGATGAAAACCATCACGAAAGCGTCGAAAGAAATGCTGGGGCTTATGCTCATCTTTATGATTTCCCTTGTCGGGTCCGCCATGGCATTTAATATGGTAAACAATATGGACGACGCTTGAACTATGAATTAACACCACTTGTGTTGGTAGACTTTTGGCATGCGGCTGTACAACTACCACACGTTTTGGCGCAGTTTGTACGATACCTCTAGGATACACCTTGCCCTTCCAAAAGTGATATATATGTGTAACAATGATATATATCATTTCGTGTAGTTTGACGTTGGTCCAAGTGATCATCAACAAGGTCGAATTTGAAGACCTCGTGGAAACCAACCAAGTGCTCGGACCAGTCTTTTTCTGCGTATTTGTCACGTTGATGCTGTTTGTGATTTTGGTACGAACAATGTCCAGTCGTATGTTCGTATGACGTGGCACGCTGCTAGAACATGTTTATCGTCATCATCACCGACGGTATGCTGCTGCCCTACGTATTTCTCCACAACAACTACATAATATAAAGGACCAATTCTCCTGTAGCATACATTGACGCCCAAAGGGAGCTCGAAGTGATGCAAGACATCCAGTTGAACGTGACGTCGGCCGAAATACTCGACCACCTCCTGCACGTAAGCCAATATATATATATATATATATATTCATTCCATCTGGACAACTAACATGCTGAGTTCAAGGATGTGGTGCTCAAGCTACAGTGGGTTGGCCCGCATGTTTTCCAGCCATTGTACAAGATGAGTGTTCGAGTGCACAAGGCGTACTACGCCCAAAGAAACGACACCACGAGCGACAATAAAATTGGTGTACATGTCCACGATGGCACGGTGGCAGCGGAGTTGGAGGCGCTGGTTCGAATGAAACATGGCGCGTTGCATCAGACCAAGCCCATACAACACCAACACGAGGTACTCAATTGTGAGTAAGGAGATTATTAACTAGTAGTACTACCTAGTCGTTCAACGGGGTGGCGATACCGGTTGAGTCGGAGGTAGGTTGGTTCCTATCTCGGTGTTGTAGATGGCGAGTCATAATGCTTTGAGCATTAGGAAAGCACCCACGATGATGCGCAAGCAGACGACCGTCAAGCCAGTACATTCGCAGTCATTGCAACCGAGGCCGCTGACTACGTGGCCGCGGCGAAGCTAGTGCTAGCAACCCTTGACCCTGCCATCGACCAAGCCAAAGTCCAAGCATTCCATGACCATTTGGACACGTGGCTTGACTTCGCGCAGTATAAATAGCAACATAATATACAGACACGACACAAAACCGACAATTTTTTATCGCGTGATTGGATAACCGACATAAAGTCGTCCTTTCATTGGTCATAGCGTTCCATCCATTGGTCGAGAATATTTTCGTATATAATACTGGCGTTTGAGAAATCTGTCTATTAGACAGATTTCGCAAACGCCAGTACTATTCTATCCGCAACCTAAAATTTAGAACCCGGATAGGTTGCAACCTTGTGCGTTGCGAACTTCGCAAATCATCCGTGTTCAGAGCGACGTCCTTCTACCACAAATGACATACTCATGAGACTCTAATGCGATTCACCTCGCCATCCCAGGCTGTCACCATGGATGCATGATCAAACAAAACACAAGCGCATCCGGTTACACTAGAAAATCCACCATTTATGCGGATACAGCAAAATGGGGAATCCGCTGCAAAATTGGCAAATTTTACAGCGGCTTTAATTATTTATAACAGGTTCAGTTCTATCCTTATCGAATTTGAGAGGATAGGTTGCGGTTAAAATAGAACTGACGTTTGCGAAATCTGTCTAATGTTCGAGCTGCACGTATCTTTTGTCGGGTGACCCCTGTATATATTTGTTTCAAGGCGCCAGAATTGTTGAGGCAGTCATAAGAAATTCAGGTGTAGTGAGAAATACATCAAGGTGGGTTCCCGTAGCTGCCTTTGTCGTAACCGATACTAGTATGTGACATATACCCCCTGCAAAACCGTTACGCGTTGCAACGGCCAATGCATATCAAAACTATGAGGGAGATGCGGGGCGCGGGGGTGGCGCGTTCTGAGCGCCGGATAGAGCTCGTGCAATCGGTACTTCATGCCCAGATCGTGCAGCAAGGCGTGAACCGGGGTATGAGTGCCAACGCCGCGACTGCCGAAGCCGGCGGGACCTTGCCTCGATCTTTGTCATCATTTCAACGCGTCAAGTCGTCGTTTCCTTCGTTGGTCGTACCAGAATTCACCCCAATCACAACCTTGACCAATCCCTCCGTCCAGATGCAACCTTCATCGCGTGCGACAATGCCTCATGACGCCCCCCTTCCAGACCACCTCCACGGTCCCCTATTTATGCACCTAAGTCAGAGTTGGAAAGGTCGAGACCTTGTAGCTCCTGATGATACGACGGTACCAGCAGTGCGCATCCTCCCACCCCCTCGTCTCCATCTACCATCGAGGATTGTATGAGGCAACTTAGCCAAATGTCGTCGCACGACCTGCGAACCCTCGCCCGGCAATCTAGTCGGTCCGAAGTGGGGGGTGGTGACGTGGCACTGTAGTCGACCAGACCCTCGTGAAAGATCTGGCTGTGACTCTTGGTAGTGGCGAGTTGACACCGGATGTGATGACACCTGTAAAGAACTTGACGTCGACGCAGCACAAGAAATTGAGGGCGTTGGTTAAAGATTAGTGGTTCAAAGAGATGAGCAAGTTGCAGAGAAATGCAGGCATCGTTGTAGAGCTTGCACATAATCTCATTCGAACATACGTGGCCGTTAGTGGGGCGCCTGGTCCAGAGGCGTCCCGACGGTTCTGCATGTGCTCAACTTGGTATGTGGGGTCAGTACATGTCGTTGCCGTATCCCGACGAAATCAATCCCCACACGTTTCTTGACATTGGGTACGAACCTCAATTTGTTCTGGATGAACAAACAATCCTGGAGATTGTATGTTTGTGCTACGATACCGGGGAAAGTGCACAATCCTTGGGCTGCGCTTTGCTTGTCTGGCGGACACACCAGCGCCATAGTGTGGTGCCACAGTACTTTGTATTGGACTCTGTGGGCTCTGCAAGGTAACACCATCACAAGTGATACTTAATAAGTACACGAAAAAGTGTAAATCGGACGTTACAGTGCCTTAAGCTCAAGTGACTAAAGTAATAATCCATTTCAAATTCCCTTGACACCAACTATGCGTATACGCTGTACTGTAGCCGATGTACGTTCCGGGGCGCTTTGTATTGATTGCATGTGTATGTAATACGTAGTACTACGGTACCGACTTGAGATGCTTGAAGAATAATCTGCAAAGTGGAAAAATCATACAATATACACTGTTGTAATGAAGTGTATAATTTATAATAACTAACAGTACACATAGTAAAATGTTACTATATGGTGCATTTCATCTAAATGCATCCCCACCGGCTGGTGTAAACGTAGAACTGCAAAATCCAGTTTGTGGGGTGATAGCTGTAAAATTAGTACAGCACTTCACACCCATTCCACACCGGTTGGCCGAAATGGTAGTCCTGATGGAGCAAACACGCGCAGGACGCCCGCTGGTGATGGAGGTTTTGGAGCTCTCACCAATCGAGAATTTAGTGCGGCAGGGTTGGCTTACATTAAGATGCATATACATGCTGTCGGCGTGGTCGAGGACATCGGGATGGCATACGTATTTGAAGAAGTTTATTGGGAACTCAATCGCATAGACTGTAAAGGAGCCAACAGATCTGTTGAGAAATCTGTGTTTATGGAGCGTTTACATCATGATGTCAAATTTATTGGCAACCGGTGTGGGTCTGAAAAATGTAAAATTTGCTGATGTACTCCGTAGTAATGATGTACTACGTTGTACTTTGAAGAAAGACTACAGATCGGCCATCCTCAGGAGGAGACGTTTTAGTTTAAACGTCTCGGTTGAACCAACGTATTTTTGACGTTAAATCATTTTTTGTTACGTTCGTTTTATCTGGTAATTAGGTTAAACGTCCTGAATATTCCGGATACAAAGGAAACCTTCATACGGATAAGTGATGTATACAAAGACCAAGATATACTTGATGCTCCTTTTCAGCCAAAATGTACCTGGCTCCATATATTTCCATATAAAAAGGCTGGTTGGTTTAAATTATATTACTCGATCAATTTTTCACCAATCGAAAATTTGAACCGCAACTTTTGTTGGCCTTGTCCAGTTCTATCGTTATTACGGCTTATTTTCCTAAAAAATATAAATACAAAGTTGGAATAGCTGTCGAAAAACAAGGCATTTTTTTGTAGTCTTTAGATGAAATGCACCATACGTATTCTGGTGCATTTCATGTAACTGCAAAGACAACAAAAAAATGCCTTGTTTTTCGACACCTACTCCAACTTTGTATTGATATATTTTTTAGGAAAATAAGCCGTAATAACGATAGAACTGGACAAGCCCAACAGAAGTTACGGTTCGGATTTTCGATTGGTGAAAAATTGGTCGAATAATAGAATTTAAACCAACCGGTCTTTTTGTATGGAAATATATGGAGCCAGGCACATTTGGCCGAAATGGTGCATCAAATATATCTTGGTCTGCGTGGGTTTAACTGAAAGTACCGAGGCGTTTAAACTAAAACATCTATGGCCGATCTGTACAGTCCGTAAAGAAATTATAGACGCACCCTAAATTTTTCCAGTTTGAAAGGAGTACCGTACTATTTTGTTGATCACTTGTTCTCAGTTCACTTGAAACTGTTACAAAACTTGGCCCGCAAAAGCATTTGGGCACAGTCTCAATCATTCTCAAGAAATCTACAATTTTCAAAGGAGTTGATGCGAACTGTTTGTATCAATACGCTCCCCGCCTCGACCACAGAGCCGAAAACATGGACGACGAATTGGTTGGAGCCTATAGTCGTCAACCTTGCATATTTTCACCGATTGCGCTAACATTTATGCGAAATATATTGGTCATGTCACGAAATATAGTGGATATTTGCGAATCTAACTGAGCAAATCACGAAATATACTGACAGTCCACGAAATATAAAGAGTGAATTCGACGTTCCCACGAAATTAAATGCCGAAGTCACGAAACATAATGAAGCTCCACGAATTTAAATGGGATTCCACGAAATATACCAGATAATTTTCGAAATTAACCGCAAAATGGTGTACACAAAGTTCAATTATACTTGATTTGAATATACCATCGATACTGTTGCATCAATCACTAGGTTACGTTATCGATCGATACTGCATATTACTACTACAGTAGAAGTGTGGACACAGAATTACTGTGTCGCGCTCTGGTGCATCACGTCCATGAAATGTTGTCGCCAAGGCAAGAACTCCTCATGCCCCCCTCGGATCATTTCGCGCCGCAAGTACGCGCCCTTGAGGCCGTCGTCGATGCCCGTTAAATCGACGCCCTTCAACGTCGCGAACTCGTCCACACTCATAAACCCGGTGGCGGGTCGAAATAGCTGCGACACACGGCTGACTGAGCGCAGCACGATGTGTGTTGGCGATACCTGCCGAACCTCGGTCCTACAAGCAACGGAAAAGCTAAGCCTATGGTCCAGAACAACCCCGAACGAAATACACACCACAACATGTCATGCCGCTGCTTGCGGAGGGGGTGGCATATGTATAATTCGTCGTGTTCGACTTGCCGCATGACCATGATGAGCCGGTCGGCTTCGACGAAGTGCCCTTGGAGCCAGTTCACGAAATTTCCTGTGGGTGTGATCGTGTGGAACTGTCGAGTGTTGGCTGTGATCTCTTGTACCACCTAACCAAACAACACAAAGGTCAGGTTGATCCTCTCCATTCGTCCGACTACTGTATGTACAGTACCTGGTAAGGACTTGTCGCTTCGACATAATGCGGGAAATTCACCGCCAGCATGTTGGTCTCGACCAGGCGTCGAAACATTTGCACCGTGCCTGGCCATGTGAACTGTATCTGCTCCTTCCACGTAAACACACCGTCGTCTTCTTCCAAGTCAAACTGGACTAACTCGTCGTCATAGCTCACGACAGGAAACAACGAGAACGCCTCGAGTATGTTGTGGTACATTTGCTTCGTGAGCCACTCCTTGCCCAGGATTCGAGCACTCGGGTCGGCCAACAAGGTCGCATTCTGCCACGTATTGCTGCGGGACATGGGCGGCTACATGCACATACGCAATGATCTCACTCGCCTGCTTCTATCGAAATGTGAAAATGTACCTGAATGTTCATCATGACAAAGTGTTGCATGGCCTGCCTGAGGGATTCGAACTCTTGCGTTTGAGTAATCAGTGACTGGCGGTCCGTCAAGACCCGGTGGGCTTCACTTTTGAACACTTTGGCAATGGAATGCCAGGACAACGGACCATCACTTGCTTCACGCGGCGCCATGGACGGCAGCCTGGCTGTTTGAAGGCGGACAAGGATCGACTGAAGATGCACGCACTGTGCTTTGGCAGTCGCCCCGTCAGCAATCATCTTGCGGCGATACTCGCGCTGCTTCTCTCGGAAGTACTGACGCCGAGGGGGAATTTTGTCGGCAATCTCGTACGTGGAGGCGCCTCTGTTAGACGACATGATTGCCTTGACTTCTGCCGATGCGTAGTACAGTACCGATGTGCAATGTGACCTTGAAGTGGAGACACGACATACATATGCATGTTCTTGGTATTCTTGGTTCGACTGATTGGCTGGCTTTTACATTGAATTTTAGTGACAAAGTCAAGCTTCGGCCCGGTCTCAACTTGCTCTTCACCGTACGAAAGCCGAGTCTCCAACGAATTTGAGCGCCTTTTGCCTGACGTCCAAGCTCTCGGTCGTCTCTTGCACAAACAGCTTCCTACAACATCAGCCCTTCCCGACAATACTCGCCCACGCCTCGAAGCGCTTCGCCTGGAATTTCAGCTACCATATTTGAAACTAGCCAATTGGCCTGCGCAATTGAATCAAGTTTTGTCCAATCCAGCGTTTATATTCTACTCTGATTTTTTGTATTTCGGGACAGTGGCACTGGCCCGATTTTACCGCACCACTGTACACGACCTCTGTTCGAAGTGCATGCATGATTCAATGTTATAGTGGGTTATTTTTGGGACAAACCAGAAATAACCAAAATACCCAAATTTTCATCTCCACTGCAGCTCCAAAAGGGGCTGGTCGCGGAATATTTCTGTCCATGTTTCAAGATATTCCGAGCTTTTGATTGGTTAGTACCCAAATTATCCGGATAACACAATCGTTCACGCTTTCCGGAATAACTCAGACATGGAAGCGAGTTTTGAGGCGTGGATGGTCCATCGACGCCTGGAATAGTCCGTTCATGTCTGACACTCATTTTCATAAAAGACGAAAAAGTATTGATCGACATTTTTTGGATTGCGAAAATATTTTGTCCGGATACGTCTCAGTTTCGGACATGGACTTTATCATACCAGCCCCTTTGGGGCTGGTCGGGGATCCCTTTTTATGTTATTCGAGGTCTCTTTATTTAAAAAACGAGACCTCGCATTCTGGGCAAAATCGCAAGACCGAGCAACGAATAATTCCCTCATTAAGACAGTTCCACTGTTGTTTTGACCCGAAATACTCTTTCAATGAGGGAATTATTACATTTGGATACACCCTTTTCGGCAGTAGCCCTGTAACCTGGGACTCCGTCATACCCCCAGTACTGCATCGCTAGTCGCTAACCACTGAGATGCACTTAACCCCTAGTAAAAGGTGAGGTGGTCTGATCATACAAAATTCCATATAAACCTCATTGAAACAGTATTTCGGGTCAAAACAACAGTGGAACTGTTTTAATGAGGGAATTGTACCCGAGCAACCGATGTATAAGAGCATCCCCACCAGTGCGACTGTAAACGCTATTCTACAGTTCTATCCGGATTATTTACAGTTTTTACAACCCCATTGGGCGACATCGGCCAGATTTACAGTCTCCACTGTAAAATACAGTTTTGACGAATTAGCCAATAATATGCTATGCATGGGTATCATGCAGTTGACGGAAAGCCAATAAACACTTTCCTTTGAGCAAATGGATCCTTCAAACGCGCTCGTGACTCACACTTCACTAAATTCGTCGAGTGCATCGGCAGCCCCTACAATATAACGACCTTGACCAAAGCGAGGGTGAGCTTTGCTCCCCGTTTTGTAAATTAGCTGTGAGAACTAGTCAGTCCCTACATAGTCGAGCAGCTTCAGCCTGACTATCCAGGGGCAGGTTGGAATGACGACCTACTATTGACTATAATGGGCGGGAAGGTGGTCAAGGATCTCTCACAAGTGAATTCCACATCATCACCGTCGTCCAAAGCAAACTTATGCCTCCGTGTTCATTTCTGGATACTAGTATGATAGTTACGCGGAGTTTTTACCGCTTTACCGCTGGGGTTGACGAAAATCAAAATAACTGAAAGAACCGAGGCGTTTGTACTAAAACATCTCCTGCGGATGACCGATCTGTAGTGTTTAGATGAAATGCACCATACAGTACTTGTGATTGATCTAATTTAAGCTTGTACAAACTATACTATACAAATATCAGTATATATTTGGTTTTGCCCAATGCGGAGGGACTTGCCGATTCAAACATTTGGATTGGCAGAAATTTACCAGAACGTGGTTTGATTGGCTTAGGCTGTCTTTAATCCATTTTCTTAAGACATTCGATTCTGCTGAGCGCTCCAGTTTCAAATCGATTTGACAATAGTACAACTGGTGTGCCGAATCGCCCAATCACTCGATCGATTCTTTGTACTGAATTTTGCATGTAAAACGGTCCCCTGTGATGAGTCACACACTAATTTCAAGTTAATGATTGTTTCCTGCAATCTGATTGGCTAAATACATTTGGTTGTGTCGATTGTCGCTCCGGTTTGTCTTAAAACACAACAATATGACATTTCAAATGCAATGGCATTTAGAATGAGATATATATTCATGCCCAATCATTCTTTGGGGAATAACAGTATTATTTGTATTACTACTTACCACCCTAGTAGTAAAACAGTAAAAATTCGACGTATTATGTCACTCTATATATGTCAGATTTGATAGCCAAACACACAAAGGCTGTCGTTTGAAAACTTGTCATAATATTTCTGAAAAGCTGACATTTTTTGTGGCAGCCAGAGTGGTCCTAAAGATGGAAATTTATTACTGTTGTATTTTACCTACCAACGTGGTGTGAGGCGGTGGCGATCTCGTCCAACTGGGCCTTGAGCGACCGACAGTGGTTCAGCCACGCCTTGAGTGTCCCCAAGTCGTTGGCGGCCTGAAGTCGCTCCAGACAGGCTGGCAACAGGCGTTCGATGTCGACGAGCTTGTCATAGCACGCTAGTGTCAACGGAGACGTTAAGGTCGGTTTTGTTATAGCAACCACTGGAGCCGCCACGTCGGTCGCGTCTGAGCAACTCTCTGCCACAAGAAGAGACGTCTCTGCAGCCACAGGCTCATGAGTCGTCGTCGGTACTACTGGCGCGTTCGCCTACAAATGACACAACCAATAAACGATAGCATGGACATATTATAATAGAAGAGGTAATGTAATCTAAAAAATCAGTTTTTTTATAGTGTCACGATGATGACTGACCTCGGCAAGGCCCACGATAGAGTTACGGCCCTAAAATTGACACTATCACAACATATATTGTTTACTGAACAAGCGCATACCACGGACGCAGTGCTGTTTCGAAGCCTCTGTCCAACACAGCCAACAACGTTAGGCCATGTAAGTAGTTAGCTACGTATATGCAGTACCCTCGTGACTTCAGTGGCATTCAAGTTCACTTTGGCAATCGCTTTGGACGTGCCTTCAATCAGTGGTTGGAACACATGCACCCCCAAGATGGGGACGCGGTACACAAACTCCTAACGACACATCAGATCTCGCTTGTCGAGCGAAGTTTACATGGAGGAAATGGTGGGCGATTTCCTTGGAGAGGGTGTCCAGCGCCATCTCTTTCATCAAGTGCAGCTCCTTCTTGGTATCCGTGTACGCTACAACAATATCAGTGCAGTAAGAATTACAAGTCAAGGTATGTATGATGTGCTACAACTTTGCAGTACCTTCCGACACGATCACGATGAAAATGTTCTACAACATTCGATAAAGGATTCAGGATTACGCTAGAGGGATGATCTTGTGCATATATATATATTGTTTACCAAGATGATAAACATCATTAAAAACACAAACGAAATGAAAAAGAACGGGCCGAGCACGCGGTTGGCAAGGCGGAGGTCGGTCAATGACATTTCACCCGTGACAATGTGCAGCAGCGTGTAGCTATCCACCATTCAAAATAGCACTCCCGTGAGTTGTTTTGATTGGTGGTTGTGGAGAATAATTCAAAACATATTAGGATTTATAGATATACAAGAGAATGAGTCGTACAAACTGGACTGGAACGTGTGGTAGTTGGTCGCAAAGTTGCCAAACGCCAAGTAAAATGCCAGCGCCGCACCCACGAGCGTGAGCACAAAGATCACGACGAGCTCCAGCACCTTGCCAGCGGACCGTGTCACAGTTTTGGTGAGTTGGCCAAACATGGGGATGACTAGTTGTGTCGTTAGTAGGTACATCACTACCGCAAATATGCATCGCAATAACAACTACTACCACAAGAACCAAATGTCCTCGTTTTTTCTTCATCAAGGAACTTTCGTTACGTACAAGAGAGGAACTTGAACAGTTTGAGCCACGAAAGGAAGCAGTTGAAGCTCTGGCACGATCGCGCCAGGCCAAAGTAGATGGTCGGCGTTCTATGCGTTGGTTCTTTCAAGTAGGAGGGTCGTCCTGCCTGGTTGGATGTACTATACCTCAAATCCACAAAGGCCGAGTCCGAGAGGGCGCTGGGAAGGGTCAGGAAGCTCAACGCACGAAACCCGAGCACGAACAGGAACAACAAGTAGTTGCACACGATCGCGAGGTTAGAAAACATGGAAAAATACCGGCGCCCCACGCGCCGCGCCAAAGCAACTTCGCCCCTCAGCTTAACTAGAACCACGACGTAGATGAGCCCTTCGCAGCCGCTTTGGATAAAGTCAGCCGTGTCGTGCCACGGGTAGAGGCGGTACGTTAGAAACTCCACTTGTGTCGTCACACCGCCCCCTACAACCGTTTGTGAGAAAGGATATTATGTTCCCTTGGGAAGGAAGAATTCCCCACCCCACCCTTGTGAGGAAGGAACCCCCCATCTCCCCCCCTCCCCGGGGGAAGAATTCCCAACCTGGCAGCATTTCAGCAAAAAGGCGGGCACTGGTCGTGTGGTCAATGTTGGCCGTGTACAAGTTCAAGTCGATAAACACTGCGCGGGTGGCCTTGTCAAAGTACCTACTCACAGTGCCAATATTATTTAAACCGTTTTCAGTTGTTTTTTTCTCTTTAGTTGTAGTTGTTGCCTTACTTGTGTTCCTTCAACGACACTAGCTGGTCGTACACAGGGCACGCTACTTTGGTCTCAAAGTCGCACGAGTCGGCTTCGGTAGACGGCACCATCTCCCCAAACGTGGGGCTGCCGTACCAGTGGTGCATGTGCGAGTAAAATCGAGGCTCGGCAGGTTTCGGTGACAGCGCCGTGTAGTTGAAGTGATACCCAAAGGTCGTGGTGCTCTCGGTCGAGGCTGAGTACGTGTTGAAGCACTGAACGGGGTCAGTGAACAGGCCTGGGACGGCGGCCATGGCGCCCCCACACACTTCCGCTTTCACGCGAATCTATAAACGTATGGTTCAAAAATAGTACCATGAGATTTAGCATGCAAAATGAGGCATCAGTGCACTTTGAAGAGTTCAAACATGGACATGATGTAATTAAAGGAGTTAGTACTCCCTCCATATACAATGAACTTGAAGAAAAATCATACTTGGCCAATGCGAATAGGCCCCACGAGGCGGGTGTTGCCGCCAAGGTACCCTCGGTCGGCATACAAGTCCCCGTGGGGAAACTCGTTGTCGCCGTCGAACGAGTCGCCTGCAAACACGACGTCGTAAAATGGCCCAGCTATATACATATACAGGACAAGGTGAAACAACTATAGTTAACGGTATATTATTCCTGAGCAGCTATTCGTAACGAGATATATATGGGGTTGTGTGTCTTGGAAATCTCGTAGGACTGATGGGTGTCATTAATAAGTACGTACTCAAGTACTGATGCAACTCCTGGACGGTCTTGATCGTGTCGAACGTTTTCTTGACGTGGATGTCTTGGTACCGGAAGGGCTTGTCCCTCAGCTGGGCATTCAGCATGGCCGTGACGCGGTAGGGGCTGTCAGGCGCAAAGTGGCCGCTGATGTCCACGGTCACGACGATAAACAGCGCGAGGAACATCAAGTACTGAATCTACTCCATCCCACACAATAGCATATACTTGCATCAACCAAGGTACGTGGTCGAATCATATTGTGTCGACAGGATCAACACGGGTTTTAGTACCATGTCTTTGATTTCGTACTGCGCAGAAAACCCTTTGAGTTCCTCGATCTTTTTCAAGATCACAATCATTTCATCTTCGTTGACGCCCATGAGCATCATGGTTTTGCGATTGATCCTTTCCATCTTCTCTGGCCAAACCACCCTCAAGTGTTGTTGAATCGACACCACCACAACAATCGGTTACAACGCCCCAGTTACAAGAAAATGGAACCGACTTTTCCTGATCCTGATGAAACTGTCCACGGTTAATATTTAAATAGCTTAGGCTGGTGTTCAATCCTGTGGAGTCGTGGGGGGAGGCTGTGGCTGTAGTAAGTGGGGATGGTCTTGGGCCAGAGATGCCCGTAGAGCGCTCAGCTCGTGCACGTAGTCGTCGATACTTAGATGGGCTTGCTGCACCATCTCGGGCTTCACTTTGCGCTTGAACTTGACGTGCTTGACAGAGTTGGCGTGCAACGCGGTGGATTTCGCGGTTGTCTTGCGGCATTCATCTATCGCGAGCTTTTTGTCTTCGGTGATGGCCTTTAATGAGTCTAAAACATAGCCGTATCGACGCTGCAGTCGCGCCCCACACCCTGGCAGGTTGAACAGTACATCCTGGGACATGTACCGTTTAGCCCAGCGCACTCTAGACATCGAGGCAACCAAGTGGACGTACATGTAGTATGTGGTGCAGTACTTGCTTGGATAACGTGTCCATGTGCATGGCTTTCATGAGTTCGAGCTCGCCCTTGGTCTCGACGTACGCTACCAAAGCATGTGTTGTATATTGTATGCTACGTAATACACCTTACCGTCGGATATAACGACGATAAACATGTTCTACACATCAACATGAGAAAACACATATATTGAAGGGGGGACTCACCAAGATGACGAAGAACATCAAAGTGACGAAAATCACAAAGAAGAGTGGGCCCAGGACACGGTTGGACGTGTGGAGCTCTTCGAATTCGAGCTCGCCTTGCAGAATTTTCAACAGCCCTAAGCTACACAAGTTGGAAGAGGGGAGGGGTAGTTATGACTCTCCAAACGCGTTGTTGTGCCTAGTAATAACGTATATGATCGTACCAACTGTCGGCCACCGTTTTGTAGTTTTCTGCGTCCAACCCAAATGCCTACAAGATACCTCAATTCAGGGGGGGGGATATTGTTCTAGTGTATACAACGCTCTACCATTGTAAACGACAACGCCGAACCAGTCAATGCCACCCCAAATATCAGGATCAGCCCCGCTACTTGCTTGGCGGCTTTCGTTACTGTTTTTGTCAACGGGGCAAAAAGGGGCAAAACTACCAAAAAAATCACAAAACGTTTAACCCTAGAACCTACACATGACATTCACGTACAAGCGAGGAACTTGAATAGCTTGAGCCACGACAGGAAAAACGTAAAGCTCGTAACGGCGTCGGCGAGGGCATAGTACCAGATGGACGTTCTAGTCGCCACGCCATTCCAACTTAGGTTTCAAGTGTCCCGGTCGATCGCACGCACCTGAAGTTCGTGAACGCGGTGAGGTCGATGGCCGTGGGCGACGGCAAGTGCATGTAGCAGAGCACTCGGAGTGCCACGAGGGGGGCGAACACCACAAGGCTAAACACGTGCGCCACGTTGGCCACCATGCTCAAATACACCCACTTCATCCGTCGCATGAGCTGGAATTCTTGACGAAGTTGCACAACCACGAGCAACAACACGAGCAATTCGAGGCCCAGGCGCACCATGTCAGACGTCGTGTTGTTGCGATACAGTCGGTAGCTCATGCATTCGACTTGGGGCGTGAACCCCCCGCCCTTTGTGAACTCGACCAGGAGCCGCACAGACGTCTGTTCGTCCGTGTTAGGGTTGTACGTGGTCAAGTCGATAAACAACACGCGAGTCGCCACGTCCACAAATCTAGGTCAATCATTTCTTAGCCATTCAATCGTTTATTGTGGGTGTACGAACTTGTGCGTGGCCAGCGACACAAGCTGGTCGTAGACGGGACACCCGACTTTGGTCGCGTCGTCGCACGTGTCGGCAGGTTCCGCCGACGGAATCTCCAAGACGAACCGGGGCGCCCCGTACACCCGAGCACTCTTGGTGACAAAATACGGTTCGCTCGGCATGGCTGTCCGTGCAAAGTACACTGTGCCGTTCGGGGCGCCAAACGCGTCCAGGCTTTCGGTGGCTGTCGTGAGTTCTGGATAGCAACCCCGTGGAAATAGGGGCGGGACGACGAGGGCTAGGGCCCCCGTGCAATTCTGGCCTTGCACTCGAGTCTATCATATCGTATACACATTGGGTTGGGTTGTTGGACTGTAAACCAATCAGCGTACTTGTCCTATTCGAATGGGGCCGACGATGCGGCCGTAACCTGCGAGGTAGCCCCTGTCGTTGTAATAACTCCCCTTGGGGAAGTTGGTGTCCCCGTCGAAAGACCCGGCGCGGTAAATCGTGTCGTAAAACGGTCCGCCTACATGAAGTTACTAATAGGTAGAACCACCAAATAGTACGGAGGTAGTCATGGAGCTCGCGAATGGACGACATGGTGTAGAACGACCGGAACGCCGACGCGTGCGCGAGGGGTTTGTCTTGTAGCTGCGACAGGTATGCAACCCGAGTTGAAAACGAGTTGTCGTTGCGGCCATGGAAAGTTGCGGCGAGGAACAAGCCAAGGAACACAATGTAGTTGATCTACAACCATCAAAACCAGTCCCATACATCAAGCCACGCGAAGCCAATGGAAAGGCAAACCATTTCAACGACTTCTTTAGAGGCTGATCGTTTGAGGTCGTGGGCGGCATTGGCTCGAAGTCGCTGCACGCGCTCTGGGTTGTCGTATACAGTGATTCGCCGAGTCGGCAGCTGCACAGTCCCAGCTTCCATGTCGACAGACGGCGGCGGTGACTCGTGCCAACCCTTGAGGTCCGTTGTGGCCAAAACGACTTGGCGGCCGTTTCGTGATGACGTCGCCACTTTACACGATTATGCGTTGGCGCAGTTACAATAACCATGATATTAATACATGAATATAGTGTGGTTATAGCTAGCTACGAATGATATCAGTTGTCGTGCGTGACGACAACCCAGCCACCGTCGCAGGACACACACGAGGAGAAAGTCAACGATACCATGATTATCTCAAAGCATTGCTACTGAATGCTGCTACTGGTAAACGTTATAGTTGACCCTAGTAGACTAAACGAGCTCTGCGTCCAGTGTCATGCTGCTTCGTCGATCCTCAACTGCGATGGATCGGCGACCGGCTTGAAACTGCGCTCAACAACTACACGCGGGGCGTCCAAGCATGTCCACGCGAGGACAGCCCGCTCACCGAGCCACCGCCATGGATGCCCGACGACATTGCCTGGACGGGCTTGTCCAGCGTCCATTCGAGCCGTAGGGCATGAATGTTGCGTCCAAGCGGGTATACCCAGCCTTCGCCAACCGACGAGGCCAAGGCGTCGGCCAGCGGGCAGTGGGCCACCATGACCCCGTGCGTCGTCCCGGTTTGTTCCACCACACGGCGGACCAAGAGCACGAATGGGAATTCGGTGCACATCCACTCTCGACCACACCTACCTCGGGCACGTTTGGTCATCCTGGGGCAATTTGCTGTCAGCTATCGCACTAACTGTGCTTCACACGCAAAAGTAGATCGACGGGCTTAACTTGATATTAACGATTGAAACTGAAGAGCTCTTCACAGATTAACGATAGTTTACGTATGCATTAAAGCAGTTGAAAGCACCGTTTTCGCCCATTCAAACGTCCAAACGAGCGCTAATGAAAGCAGAGCGCTTTAGCCAGCCCCATTTGTACATCCACTCCAACCATTATTGAACCATCTCCGCTGTTTCAGAGAGTGTTGATCAGTTGGAGGGGATTGGAGCAGTTTACTCGACGCGAGCACTTGTTCGAGCATGGGTCTTGGTGGGGCTGATGGTCCTGCCCTCCTCTGGTCCGGGCTTCGTACAGGAGCGGGTCCTTCACCGTTCCCTGAGGCCCAATAGCGCCTCACAAAGTGGCACGTAGAAGTCGCTGTACCCCCCCTTCGTGGCAAAACACGAGTCGGCCGCAGCAGGCGTCGGACACCACCGTGAGCATCCGCCATTTGCCCAAAGCATTTGCTGGAGACTCACCATTATGTTCCCCAGTGGATCCATGTACGACGCGTCAAAGCCCGACGAGACCAAGATGAAGCCGGGCTCAAACACGCGCAACGCAGGGAGAATAACCCAGCCCATCGCGATGTTGTATGCGCCGGATCGAGGCGGCAACAGGATGTTTGTGATTGTATTCCGATTTCCTATAATAAGGGCAGGACGGCCATTTTCTGCCATTTTTTCGTGGCATCCCAAGAAAAGTTGGCAAATTCGAAATATTCCTACTATTTTCGAGATTTGTGCGACTGGATGCCACCAAAGCTCAGAATTTTATGCCACAATTTTCTTGAGATTCGGGTGTTTTATGGCATAAAAAACGAAACCGATTTGGTCCAACTCTTTTATCGAGTTTGTGAGGAAGTCTTGCACTTACTGGTACAGACTGTTAATTCGGAAATCAAATAAATTTTCCAAAATTCAACTGGCATCCAAATAACTTTGTAGATACTTCTTTTGTCCTTTTTTCATGGGATATGAGACTTTAGGAATTTTTGCAGACTTGCCAAAAGGGTAGCTCTAACCGCAATTAAAATGTCAACTCAAGGCCAAAAATGTCAGTTCATGGCCAAAAAATATCAATTCATAGCCGTGAATTTTCCGGATACAACCGGATGCCCATCGATTGGGCGCTGAAATTTCGGATAATTTATCTTTTCATCCGGATGTTGTAAGCTTCTGTGGCACACAAACCACTGACTGCCAGCACTTCATTTTCGCAGGCAGGACTACCGAGGACGATGCGTAAGGCCATCTTCGAACTGGGGCGCGCTGTGCGTGAAACCGGCCAAGCTGTCGACCGCTTGGGTCTTCGTGTGTTGGGCAGCAGCCTGCACCGCGAAAAGTGTACGTGTTCCACCAACGACCAACCCCAATGATTGCTAACTTGAACTTGCTCTCATCAGTCTCTCGCCACCGCCAAATCATGGCGCTGTACGACAAGGCTCCCGTGATCGCACACGACTCATGGGTAGCCCCGAACGCTTCCGTGATCGGTGACGTCGAGATTTGCAACGACTCGTCGGTCTGGTACGGCGTCGTGATCCGCGGTGACCTGAACAAGGTGTCGATCGGTAACCGCACCAACATCCAGGACCGTGCGGTAATCCACACGTCGAGCACCACCACCCCTGGCCTGGCCCCGGGTACCTCCATTGGTAACAACGTGACCGTCGGTCACGGCGCCATCTTGTACTCGTGCACGATCGAAAACAACGTGTTGGTCGGCATGGGCTCCATCGTGTTGGACGGCGCGTTGGTCGAGTCCAACTCGATCTTGGCCGCCGGTACCGTCGTACCTCCTGGTCGCCGCATCCCTTCCAACCAGGTATGCACCTTTCTTGTCGTGAGGAATCCATGGCTCATGACGAGCATGATAGTTGTGGGCGGGCAGCCCTGCGAAGTACGTCCGCGACGTGAGCGAGGATGAAGTAGCAGACTTGGTCAAGCAAGCCTCCGAGTACACCAAGTTGGCCGAAACACACAGCGACGAATTCTTGCCCTACGGCACCGCCTACTTGGACGTACGTGTGCATCTCGTCGCCCTTCATGGAATCTAACTGGTTTTCTAGGCCGAACGCATCAAGGCACAAGGCGGGTCATTGTAAGCAGCAGCAGCCGCCGCAAATGAAATAGCTGACACGTTGTAACTCAGGCATATTATCTTGTGCACCTTTGGTTGCTTGAGCTCCCAAATGTCCTTCCTTGCATTCCTTTACTCCACCAAATGTCCTTGAATTCCTGTACTCCACCAAATGTCCTTGATTGCATTCCTTTACTCCACCAAATGTCCTTTGGATTTGCCAGCCGCGCAATTCTGTACCCCACGACTAACGTTGCATGACGTCCTTGTATTATCATTCTACAAGCCTAAAACTGGGTATAGTACAACTGTATTTTGGTACTGTCGTGGGTACAGGAAGATGGGGAATAATACAGTACATAGCCACACCAGCCCTTTGACCTCGTAAGTTTCATGCGTCGTCTGCTACCCGTCTCTTGCCGTTGGCCCGCTTGCCTTTTTTGACATGAAATGCCACCACGTGGTTGGCTTTACCCCTTCCTCCTTCATTGTCTTGTTCTTCAGGATCGTTCTTGCTGGTCTCGTCCAGTGCAATGCCTTTGTATCGCCCTCCCCACGGATTAAACGCGCCCATAGCATTGTCAGCATGCAAACTCTCTTCCATGAGCAGTTCGTTGTCTCGTTCCACTTGAATCGCGGTGGTTTGGGCTTGAAATGCTTTTGCGTCGGCCTCGATCGCCGCTTCTTCTGCGGCTTCGTCGACCACTCGGACGCTCACAGTGGCCCATCCGCCATAGTCGGGAGCAGATTTCGCAGCAACTGGCTCAGAAACTCGGCACGACGAGTCTCCAGCAACAACCTGCTGCACGCGATGCAAAAAGTCGGCGGTCTGGTCACGTTCCGTCGGCACGACCATGCCCACGGGAAGATTGAGCGGAATCCGCAACGCATCGCTCCGCACGCCTTCGATGGGCGGGGCGGCGGGGTCGTCTTGACGCTGGACGTGATAATGCTTGAACTTTTCGTTGGTGTCGTGAACTGTGGTCGTGAAGATGCGAGTGATCGTGACTGGTACCCAGCTCTCTTCGTCTTCGATCCATACTTCACATGGTTTGGCCTTGGTGAGCTTGGACTAGCATAATATATATAAGAGGCATGACTGGCTATTTGTCGTTGATCTTGACATATCAAACGCAATAATATATTGTCCATTTCACCCAAATATGACTGGACTGGGCAGTTTTATATTTGAGAGAAATCGAAGCACAATTGTATACCATACAGTGTACTAGTATATATACGAAAATTGAATAGAAATAGTTCAACTGGGACAAATGGGCCTACCATTTATATATTTGATGACTTTCATTTCATTGGCTAGTCGATTGTCTGCGTTTGGGTTGCCGCTATTCGATTGGACTCTACCCCCTCCAACTTTGAACCAAATGCGTCATAACGATGGAATTCAAATGAATGTGAAATATATGTAATCTTGAATAAAATGTTCCAAATTGATTACATGGTGTAAAGGTACCATGGAATTAAATTTGAAGCATTTATTTAAATATTCGAATTCGATAATTGATTCAAGATTGTATTGAATTATAGAATTATATTCGCGTTTTGTATTTCATGGTGCAGATCAACGACAAATACGGTAGTAAAAGTTAGTCACCATGTTTGCTGTTGATCTGCACCATGCAATATAAAACGGGAAAAATATAAGTAAATACGTAAATGGAATCTCAAAGCCAGTATGGAAACGGAATATTTAAATACATTGTTCAAATTTAATTACATGGTACAAAGGTACGGCAAATAGTACGGTAACCATACTCGAATAATAGGAATGTGCTAAAGTAAGTACCTCGTGGGCTTGACCTTCAAGGTACACGACGCCGCGGACAGTGTAAAAGCCCTTGGATTTCTCAACGCCTTCAATGGATGGCTCGACGTGAGATGGTGGAAGTGATTGAGGGGGATTCATGGCTGGAGGTGGAGGCTGTGGATGGTGCGGCGGATACACCGAGTGTGGAGGTGAAGATGGCGGTAAGGGATGCCATGCGTTCGATGGGATGGAGGGAGGAGGAAGGGAAGGCGGCGGTGGTGGGCCTGCAGGAGGCGGGTAGTACACGTCAACGACAGGACGGGGAGCAGCTTCGGCGGCCGCTTGATATGTATGGTGATGTTGCTGGTGTTGCTGGGCGACGTGCTGCGGTCGTGGCGGCGGCGGTGGCGGTGTCATCTTGTGTCGACGGGGAGGTGGTGGGGGCGGAATGTCATCATCGTCCTCTTCGTGTTGAGGAGGCAACAAGACAGGCCCTGCACCGATGGGCACGTCGTATCTGTCGGATGCAACCGCCGTGGACCGGCCGCGCATGTCCATCGCAAACCTTGCTCGCGCATTCTACTCCATGATGACGATACCACATCGTACAAGTCAGACACGTACACACTCGACTTCTTCGAGTTCCATCAGCCGTTCTGACTCATTTCGATCCGCTTTCTCCTTCTCTGCCGCTCGATGCGTGGCATTCGCCGTGACGCGTTCCTTGTGCCTCTGGCTTGCTTCATGGTTTCGAATGCTCTATCATCGTCCACAAGATCAGGAGGAAGATGGAATGGAGGCATGTCGGAAGCATGGTCGTACAATGCGATCTCCTTGGATCCACGTATTGCATTGACGGCAATGGTGCTTCTCCACCATGGTCGCAGGTGGCCGGCGATAAAATCGCGAGGGTACTTTATCGAATGGTGATTTTTCCGACAAGGACGTTTATTGTAGCAAATACTTTGAGTACTACACGTTAAATTTTCAATTAAGTATTGATATATCCTTTGACGCAAATACTATGTTGCAAAGTGCAGTACAAATATAAAACCAACAGGACACGTCCCATCGCTGCGCAAGAAGCCAGTCATGATGTGTGACAACGTCGTAGGGGCCCGAAGCTCCGGCAATATCCCACATTCTTCTTGTGGAGATATAAGGCAGCCTACTGAAACCGTGAAAAAGGGGCATGAAACGACGAAACAGCCACAGGTTGAACGTTGTTGCCAGCATGGAGGCGAGTCGACACGCGTCCCTGCCGTCGATGCCGCGGAGGCAAGGAGGAGGACGGGGTATGACGGGTGCGCTGAATACGATGCGACAGGTGCAAGATGAGTATGCATCGGCTGGCGACTCGAGCACCTTCCCTTCACCACAACGTCGGTCGAGGGCAGCCATGCCCCGCCTACCGCCGACATCACGAGTCGACGGGACGAAACCACCTAAGAGAGGGCAAAAGAAATCGGTGGATTCCAACACGGTGTCACATATCCCGCCGCTGGAATCCGTGCTCACCAGCGACACCAGCGGGACCTTCGAAGTCACGGCGACGGACGACGTGGTCACGGTGACAGGGTGCTTCTCCGACGACGACCTGGCAACCCCCATTCCCATGTCGTTTCAACTGCCGAAAGCGCAGGTGATGGCGGATCATGCCCTACCACTGCTGTTCCCCGTGGATGAAATGCTCGCCGCCCAGACAGCGGCGGTCCATGCACTGGTCCATCCACCAGAGGTCGACGTGTCGACCAGTGTCGTGCGAAGTAGCGGCGGTCCGATGTTCAATATCGTCGTGAAGGGCACCGTCAAGGAATTGGTCGCCGAGGCCAATAAATTGTCTTGGGACGCCGCCAAAGAATGCAAGCGACAGTTCATGCACGACCGACTCTACTACGAGCGCAAGAAAGATCGGATCGCGCCAGACTACGACCGCCTCTTCAAGCATTACGCGCCGATGGTGGCATCCGTGGTGGCGGCGCTGCGGCAGTCGCTCCCGGCCACACATACCCCTCGCATGTTTGTCGCTCGAACGCTGGCCTTCGTCCAGTGTCTGCCGTACGAACGGGCTGAAGGCGGATTCCGACGACCGTTTGCAGTCCTCACAGACTTGCGCGGCAACTGCGGCAGCAAGACCACGCTGTTCTTGGCCCTGCTCCACCACGCGTACCCGACGCTGGACAAGTGCGTGTGCCTGATTCCGCAGCATGTCTTCGCCGGCGTCAAGTTGGAAAAGGTGGAGGGAGACATCATGGTGGGAGATGAGAACCAATTCGTCGCCGTCGAGCCAGTGGGTCCAGGGCGCCTACCTGTGGGCCAGCTGCGACCTACCAGCACCCCAAGTCTGCTACGTTGATGATGAGCACCTTTTGGCGATACCAGTAAAGCACTATTTAATTTATTATTCTACTGACAATTGTTGTATGCTTCGGTACCCATAGTAGTCAAATAGGCCAATCAGAGTTACTTAAACATGCATAACGGATCTATTCTGACCAATCATGTGACGTTATTTTTGGGGTGGTCAAACTCATTGTACTCCTGTACTCATTTCTGGACGAATTGTCGCGCCGGTTCAATACTATCGTCATGCCAGCAGCGTATATGAACCGGCAGGACATGTGCCGCATGCGGCAAGGCATCCGACAGAACGTCACTATGACAGATCTCCAGCACAGCAACATTCCTCTGCCACCACAGCATCCTACTACCCATCCTTCGCCGCCCAAATCCAACGCCATCAAGTCGTCTATGCCATCGCCTCCGAACCTGTTCAAGGAAGCATGGCACCAACAGATGCCACGCCAACCCCGCCCACGCAGAGGCAAGCCACCTCCGTACAACCAACCGACTGCCGACAACGTGTCCCTTGGTGAGCAAATGCAGCACGTACGTTAGCATTGGCTTGAATAAACCTGTCCATTCGATCACAACAGTCTCACATGTGGGATGTAGCTCAAGCAGTATTACGAAGAACGCGTGGTCGTGCTCGTGCAGCGATGCACAGAAGCGGAAACCAAGTTGGGTGTGCTGACGTCCGAGCGACGCGATATTGACACGCAACTGCAGCACTTACAGGTAGATAACTCTGGCTACACAGCTCGATCCTTCTATCGTAATACGTACATTCGTCCTTGGTTAGGCGCTAGCGCATTCGCAGCACGACCAGCTGCAGACGGCGAGGCAAGAATACGCCAGTTTGCTTGACTGGTGTCGGTAATAACCTGAACAATTTTATGGCATGCATCAAATGATCTGTGATGGGATGTAGAGAGCGCGAGGCGCACTACCAGCGCACGGAACACGACTTGGCGGCTACAGATACACTGAACCAAACGCTTGTGCACCAAGTCGAAGCACTGAATGCGGCCCGACAGGCCTTTGAAGTCGAGTGGACAAAGCAACGAAATACATGGGCGCAACGGCAAGAAGAGGTACAGACATGTCAACGCCGCTTAGACCCTGCGATACTAGTATACTAGTAACACAATGCTGAGTGATTTTAACTTTACAGCGTAATATCAATATCAATAGTAACACACAATGGTTAGTTGGATGCGAGCATGACCCATCTATTGCAAACCCAGGTACTACTGTACCTACGATTTTGGTCGGTGGTTTCTTGAGCAGGTTTGCTATGTGGCGTCTCAGGCCGTGCTTCGCAACGACATTTTGACCAAAGATGCAACCATCCAAGACCTGCTTGTAGCTCGCGATCACATGGAATCACAACGGCTGCACTTAAAAAGCGTGTAACTATGTTGCCTGCATACAATGCAATACAGTATCCTTACGATGGTACTGTACCTATAGCAATGCTGGTCTAGTGGACCAAGTGACCAAGCTATCGCATCGAGCGGTGGTGCTCGAAGGCCAAGTGCAGGTAGGTACTGTACGTACGGAAATACTTCCGAGTCAATTCAGTCGACAAAGAGGTTCAATGCGTTGTATTCCCTTGTATCTTAATGATATCATTAGATGGAAATCGAGTTCAAGAGGTCCACGGTGGCAGAAGCCGAAGCCCTGACCCAGCAATTGCATGCTGAACGTCGGGATCGTCAAGCCCTCGCGGTACGTTCGTACAAACAAAAATCAAAATGATTATATGTTCTTGGAACGACATCTCATGTAGCCAATGGGAGCGGAATGGGAGCAGAATGGAATAATCTCTCACACATAACATGGCTAGATGCAAACTCAGCTCGAAAATCAGCAGCATCGCCGAGACTTTCGAGACCGGGACATGGCGTGCCGAGAGCTCACGCATCGGTGCCAGCGCATGACCAACGACTTGGTGGTCGCGACCACTCGGTATGAAAAGGCAGAGGCAGCGCTGGAGCATTTGACTGGTGCCACCGAAGTACGTGAACGTTGAACGAGGTCTGACCCTATGATGCAACTTGGACGTAACGTAGGCTAGAAAGGAGGACCTCCGTCAGCTCCAAGCAGATGTCCAGCGGCTACAAGCACAGCTGGCAGATGCGAGGGCCGCGGTGGAAAGCAAAGATGTGGCGCTGGTCGCGGCCAAACGGTGAGAAATTAGCGTATTTGGCATCATAAACGAAGTGGTTTCTAATGGAATAATACTGCTGCGCGGAGTAGAGATTTGAGCGGCTTGCAAGCTCGGGTTGTGGCGGAAGAAGCCAAGAAGCTAGAGGCCTTGGACGATGTGAATGCACTCAATCAAAGGTACCAAGGCTAGATATGGTATATATATTGTAAAGGAATAAAGAATGGTCGTGGTGAACTAGGATAGCAACGCTTCGACGGGACAACATGCACTTGATCAGCCGGTTAGAGTCGCCGATTCCGCTCAGCGTGCGAGCGTAGTTGTCGCTTCTAATGCAGAATTATCATGCACGAGCTCGTAGTAGTAGCACATGAGGCCAGCGTATCGCTCGCTCCATTGCGGTATCCACCCGTGAATATGAAACTACACAGGGAGTACGTCAATCCTATGATTAAATGCATGATCGACATACCCCCACGGAGATGACTTTTGTGCGAGGGTGCTGGCATTGGTGTACGAGAAGCTGCTTGACGTTCACGTTGAGCGTCTCAGCAAAGGCGTACACAATTACCATGGTCGTGCGGTCGGGCAGGCGGTAGGTAGGGTGGAGGATGTCGTCGATGGAGATCGTGATGGAAGCCTGCAAGTGCAACGCATGCACCCTTTCCACGGCCAAGGCGGCCACTTGAGGGTCGTATTCCACCCCCACGGCGCGACACCCGTACGTTTGAACCCCATGGAGGAGCCACCGAGCGTCGCCGCATCCGAGTTCAACCACGACGTCGTCTGCGCTCATTTGAAGACGCAAACGTTCCCATACCTTGATGACCATCTCCATGGGCGACGGACTGAAGGGTGCAATGCACACCGTGTCCGCGGGCAGTTGGACGGCAGCATAATGCTTCTTGGCAGCCGCTAGCAGGAGCGCCTTGATCCGTTTCTTGCGACGTTCGTGAAGCGTTGACATGGATTGTCCGGTTAAGTCTCCGGATATGTGACATGCCAGGTGCAGCTTGAAACTTGCTCCCGCGTTGCCACGTCACAATCAGACATGTTGAAGGGATCAATTGTCGAGGTACGGATGGCAAACACTTGTGTGCTTCGGTATACAGTACTACTCAACAACAAGGAACGGAAGGACGAGTATTGCGTCCAGTAACGTTAGAAGGATCCATCTCAATTGATTTGGCTTTTGTGTGAGCTGGTTTGAAGCAAGGGGGGAAGCAAGACCGACCCCACCCACTGTTAAAACTACGGATGTACCTCCGACTGCAAGCCTTCCAATCGGCCACGCATACATATTCCTCGTTGTTCGAGATGACTCTACCGGTAGGTCCATTGGAGTGCACTTCACGAGAATAATATATAGAGAAATATAGGTAAAATATGACAGCTCCCATTGCGATAGCGTTTGGCCTGTCGATAGGCTTACATAGCCCCTCATCGTATGTGCTGTATGTACGTCCCTACATCGTCGTGATAGCCCCGCCATGCACATTAGCAATGTCTGTCAGCAAATGCCTTTCAAAATGACAACTCATTCTATATGTACGCTAGCTATCCTCCTGATTCACTGTAGAATCGCCTGCAGTTTGGAGTTCAGGTGCTCCTCCAGGTCGTGGACATACGCTAATAACACACCCAGGTCTTGGGCGTGAACTTCTGACTCTGTCGATTTGCTCGCTTCCAAGTGCTGGAGCACGCGCTCGACGTCGAGGGCAAGGGCGGTCCGCTCGTCGGTCATCTCCCGCAGCATGTTGTCGATCTTGGCAGCGACGGCCGCCTCGTCCAGCGGCCCCACACTCGACGTTTGCGTGTCATGGATAGGGAAGACCCGATTCGTCATGTTTTCTGGTTTCTCGCGAATGGAGCGGTGGGACTGCCGCTCTCGCTACAAATACGTTGGTTCAACATGATTATTATATCAACGACTTTTGTATTACAATTGAATGCGCGCGACTTGCTGTCATTGCTTGGACGGCAGACGGAGGTTGGGCAGACATGGCCTTCATGCCGTAGATGTACAACGGCAAGAACACATGCTTGCCCAGAAACGGCGTGGCAAAGATCATGTTCTGGACGTAGTTGCTGGTTAACCCTCCACTGAAAAAATCGACAGGCGTACATGCAAAATGTGGTCCATCACGTCCGCGCCCAGCGTATGCAGCTTCATGTCTTTGGCAAACAATTGCGTTTCCTTTTGCTCCAAGTACGCTACTCAACGTATTCAATTGCAAAGCACGTTGCAAACAAACTCAGAAGGTGTCGTACCATTCGCAAAGCACGCAATGAGCATGTGCTATGTATGTATGCCTCATAGTTAATGAGAATGATGGTGGCAGTGCACAACAACGAAGAATAGGAATATATAATCGATACATGTTGTAGGTACAGTACCATGATGACCAAAATGATGAGCGACACAAACACGACAAAAAACACCGGGCCGAGCACTCGGTTGCCGTCAAAAATTTCTTCGGCGTCGAATTTGAGCGTGAAAATCCCCATGAGCGAATAGCTACAACCAGTCAAATTACTTGTCACATGTCATCATAACTTTAGGGTGGCAGGCAATATATATATATATATATATATATATATATATTCACGTACAAGCTGTTGATCACCACGCTGTAGTGCCGAAGCATGCTACCAAATGCCTACGAAATTGTACATTGTGTACAATAAGTCGTGATTTGGTGTGTTGTCAAGTTTGCTCGTTATACAATGGTAAATGCCAAGCTGCCGCCGAAAAGCAGGATCGCAATCATAACAAATAGCCCAATGAGCTCGTCCACGGCACCCGACACGGTCGCGGTGAGGATACTGAACGTCGGAATGACTAGCGTCGCAACAACAGCATGACACATCAAACCACATAAAATGAACATGGACGTACATGACAAGTACTTGAACACCTTGAGCACCGAGAGGAAGCAGTTGAGGCTGTTGACACTGCGCGACAAGTAGTCGTAGTTGGCGCTGGACCTACGTCCGTCCAATGAAACCCCAACCCTTGACCCACGACGATGCAAAAAACATGAATGGACGTACCGAAGGTTGACGTACACGTCGTCTTGAAATTCCGTGGGTAAACTCGCGTGGGTCAAGACTTTGAGCCCCAGCACGATAAAGAAGAACACAATGTTGATGTCGTTGGCGATGTTGGCTCGTATCGCGTAGTACTTGAAGCCCACGGTGCGCAACCCATGGACCGCCACGTATGCTTGGTGGAACACCACCAGGTACAACAAGCTCTCGCATACGATGGCAAACATGTCCTGGAACGTCTGAGGCGTCACATACGGCAGAAACGGGCGGATAGACACGGACGGCATGACGCCGCCGCCGTCAGTTTGCTCCAAGAAGAGCCGCACCACAGCTACAGCTTTGCAATGCGGGTTGTATACGCTAAAGTCGACAAAGATCGCTCGAGTTGCCAAGTCCCAAAACCTACAGCTCCGTTAGGGGTCTCGTGGCAGTTGTTGATATTTTGCATTGTGCAGTTAACGTACTTGTTGTGGCGGAGTTCTTCGAGCATGGTATACACGGTGCAGTTGGCTTTGGTCACGACGTTGCACTCGGCCGCCTCGACGTTGGGAATCTCCACCGTGAACGCTGGCCCAGGGTACACGCGATTGGTAATGGAAATGTAACTGGGCTCGTCAATGTGGGTGTGCACCGCTTCGTACAGTTCGTGGCCCAATCCAAAGCTGTCGGTGCTCGCCGTGGACGTCGAGTATTCAGGAAGGCACCATGTTGATCCGAGAGTCGCAAGGTTGTCGCACGCCTGCCCAGCCACTCGAACCTGAAGGTACACGCAATAAATTACCCTAAAACAAACTGACCCGTCAACTTGATGGGTTTCCTACTTGGCCTAGCCGAATCGTCCCTAGAATACGCCCCACGCCGCCAATGTATCCCCGGTTGTAGTTGACCGACGAATTGCTAGCATTTGTCGCGGCATAGACCGTCTCGTCGCCGTCATAAGAGTCGCTGCCGTAGATAGCCCCCCAAAACGGCCCGACTGTCGAGTGTCGTTGTTAGAAAGCGGATGGTTGGCAGGAATCGACCGTACCCAAGTACTCGTAAAACTCGTCGAGGTTAGACACGTCCGCGTACGATTTATACACGGACGTGTTGACCAACTGAAAGTTTTTCACCACCAGGTGCGATCGCACGAGCTTACTAAACTTGAACAAGTCGTCGCCGTTGGTGGACGTGATCGCCACGGTTAAGAACAGCGCCAGAAAGATCACGTAGTTGACCTGACAACCAAGCATCATACATCCCCTCGTCATGACATTTTTGGAATGTGGGAGATAAGGGGCTGGGTACCATGTCATGGATTTCACGCTTCGCGGCCAGCTTATGCTTGGCATTCGCCGTGAAGTTGTTGATCAAGCGTTGATGGGTCGAAGTGCCCTGCGCTGCTTTTTCCTCCTTAATGCTCTTCATGTGCTCCTTCCGCGCCTCCGCCGACGCAGCAGCGCCATGGTTTTGCATCTGTCGACCGACTTACCACCGCTGGCTTTCTAGTTTCGGTTCCATGGGTGGTGGCAGTTATATAGTTCAACCGTTTCACATATTTCCTGGCTCGAGGGGTCGTACATGGACGCGACAACCAAAGACTCCGTCGCGGTGGCGGCAGACCCTGCGCATGACAGCACCCTTCCTGGGGACAACAACAATCCGGAGGATGCCGCCCTGACGGAGACCCCGGCGGTGGATCTGCCCCCGCGGGTGGACGTGTTGCACCAGCTGCATGCCACCGAAGTGGAGCAAGCGCAGGGCAGTGCCCTCTTGCAGCATTGCAAGGACGGAGCGATGGAGGCCGTGGCAAAGCTAGTGCGCGAAGGAGCGCCGGTGTGTTTCGTCACCACGACGGGGTGGATGCCGCTGGCCGTCGCGAGTTTCAATGGCCGAGTGGAGGTACGTATTACTAGTATACTCACCAAAGCTGTCCCACCTTACTAAAAGACCTTACTTTGTCATGGAATCGACTGTAGGTGGTGAACTATCTCTTGTCGATTGGCGCAGGAGACTACTACAAACTGCTCAAGCAGCAGCAACTAGCGCAGAATCAACAAACAAGTATTGCTATCAACAAACAAAGCAGCACTGACAAGTCGAAAAAGGCCGCACAGCAAAACACACCGTTGCACTGGGCATGCTACAAAGGCCACGCCCAAGTCGTGTGGGCGCTTCTGTCGTGGGGCTATTCAGTCGACGACGTCGACACGTGTGGCAACCGGGCGTTGCACTTGGCGTGTTCCAGCGGCAACTTTGACATTGTTCAGGCAAAAAACACAAATACGCAACGATCTGACATTGATGTGCAACTTGCCCTTTGACGAGTTGCTGGAATGTAGATTGTGCTCACGCATGCCCCAGACTTGACGGCGAAAAACATGTACGGCAACACTCCGTTGGACATGACCACTGACTCGATGTGCCGCAAGCTGCTCAAGAAAATCCACACCCAAACCACATGTGACCACTGCAAGGAACCGTTTGGCCGCGACCGCCGACAAAGTTTGTGTCAGCAGTGCCACAACATTTACTGCAACGTGGATCCATGCTCGACATCGTACGTCCTGTCACCACCACCCCCGCCCCCAACCACCTACATATCTATAATGCCACTCATCTCGTTCGACCATTGGGCGGTACTAGCGTCGAAGTGCCTTGGAACAGCCACGACAGTGCCGTGCGTGTGGTGCAGTACTGTCGCGAATGCAATCTGGGGTTGGCGGTCGTGGAGCGCGACTTGGAGCAAGTGCTAGCCGCCAAGTTGAAAGCCGTCGACGACAGCTTGTCCGGCATACATGCGATCGAGCTGGATATCCGCGCTGCCGCCCTCCTCCCCCCCGTAAGTGTTTGACCAATTCTCTCTCTCAATGGACCCTATTGATGCAAACCAACCACTTACTTAGCCGTCCGAGGCAGCCCCCCTGGATGCCGAAGGTGTCGCCGCCGTCTCCACTCCCGCCGCAGACATACCCAAGGATTTCTTTGTCAAGCAGCTAACGGAGGCATTAGCCAAACTCGAGAGCGACGTATCGGACGTTGAGGCGCTCAAGACGGCCATCTCCGAAGCCCAAAACAAGGCGGCGAATCCGCGGTTGGTTCAGGAAGCCAACGACGCGTATAAGCGCCTCGTGTCGCATTACAAACTTGTGGACGAGATCAAGCGCCTTCTCGTGGAAAGGTACAGTACCCAACCACCACTAGCAAGTACATTCAGGCCAGTTGCTACATATTCGTTGGGGGGTTCGGGGGCTTAGCCGCCACCCCCGTAGTGTCGAGTGTATCATGTATGTAGTGGCTACCACTTGATGAAAAAGGAAGGCTACGAGGTTAACATTTGTTTGGCTAGACCGGTGAACGTCCGGTCGTCGATTGAGTGCCTGCGGTCGGCGTGGCGGGAAGCCAAGTCGGCACATGTGAGTCCTATTCTTCTGGAGGCCTCCACGCGCGTGATTGTCATGGCCGAGGGTGAAGTGAGTTTGTACGGGTACTACATGCTCAGTGCTCGCATCGGGCTCGGGTCCAAGGCGTACTTGAACGACATGACGAAGCTCAGTCATGGGATCGCTGCCGTCGAGGACAAGGGTGTGAACGACACGTTGCTGCGAAATGCCAAGGTCCTTCGGGACAAACTGTATGCTGAGGTGTGCCACGACGAATTGATGGCGTCGCTAGTGGTTTACAAGGGAATTTGTGCGAATTATAGATGGCGATGGAAGTGGCGCTGATGCTGTTTGACGAGCAGTTGGACCCGTCGACCAACCTGCCCGTATACGTTTTCAACGACGGAAAGCGATGTCTGACGCTCTTGGACGCGCTGAGTCACCGCAACCACGTGGTGACCATGGCCATGGTAACATTACGGCGAGAATAAAAAACCAAGAAATGGCCCCTGGACTCTGTCACGTTAGGACACGGCGGTGAAAATGGAAGACACGACGCCGATATCGCATGTGCTGATGGACCAAGCCAAGGAGTTGCTGGTCAAGCTAAAAAAAGACATGAAGGACGAGCAAAAGGTACGGAGTCGGGCTGTGTGGGGGGTCCATGTTGTGTGAAGGGATGATGAAATATGCACTCTGACGGATGAGGCTTGCTTACCCACTGTACTAGCACGAGGAAGAGCGACGTCGACTGGAAGAAGAAGAAGAAGCTGCGAAGAAGGCCAAGAAGGGTAAGAAAGGAAAGAAGGGCAAAAAGTAAGATGGGGGAACACAAGAGGCTTTGTTTATACGTGGCGCGTTGTGGTGTGGTGGTGGGTGGGCACAGCAACCAAACATACAACGAAAGGACAACCGCAAGTACTTGATTAAGAGTGATCACGTGTTGATTGGATCCATGGGGCACGAAACTACTTAATGTGGTCGGAATTGAGGGGGTGTTACTTAAACAATCGAACCGGCGTTGGCCGCGATACGAGGCCACAAGTCGGCGCATTCCTTGCCGACGGGACCGGTGATGGCGGAACCCTTCATTTCACCCTTGGGGTTGACGATCACACCGGCGTTGTCCTCGAAGTAGAGGAACACGCCGTCGCGGCGCTTCCACGACTTGCGTTGACGGATCACGACGGCAGGCATGACCTTCTTACGCAACTCCGGCTTACCCTTCTTCACCGAGCACAAGCACATGTCACCCACACCGGCGGCAGGGAGACGGTTCAGGCGACCCTTGATCCCGCACACGGCGATGATCATCAACGCCTTACCCCCGCTGTTGTCGGCGCAGTTCAACACGGCGGCCACGGGCAGACCCAACGTCATGCGGAACTTTTGACCAGACACACTAGCACGTCCTACAAGCATCACCACACCCTGTCAACACTCGCACAACGACACACAACTTGGGTCGTCGTCGTCGTCGGCAAACATGCCGTGCAGTGGTCCCATGTCCACATGCTCCATGTGTGAGGTAGGAGCAGCATCGCTTCGATGCTTCATGCACACACAACTTCGCGACCACATGCAGTAGGATGATCATGTACACATGGAGAGAGGAGTCTTACCTGCGGAAGCCATTATTCTTGTTTCGTGTTTGAATCACAACTAAAATGGGCCATCGCCATCGTAATTCCCAAGAAACCATTGGCTCCCGTCTCCATTCAGTCTCTCCACCAATCATGTTGGGCTGTCCCCTAACCCTTTCGATACAAGCCCCCCCTCGATACAAGGCGTATCCGGATAACGCTGGTGCTTCCGTTGAATTTCAGCCAATCCAATCCCTTGTCTTCGACATGGCGCCTCCGGATTGGCTCCTTCCAATCCATGAAGAGGCGTGCCCAACCCACAAACGATCCAAAACCACCATCATGTACACGGCCAAGCCCAAGACGACTCTCAAAGCCAAGCAAGCGCAGGATGCGGCCAAGGTCAAGGTCAAGAAGGGACCATCCGTGGAAGAATGCGTGGCCAGGCGTGACTTTACGGGCGCCGCGACCATTCTCGAGTTTAACGTCAAGAGCGACGACACCAAGGTCGAAGACAAGCGGATGCACTTGCTGTGGCTCGCCTACTGCTACTTCCACTTGGGCCATTACCAGCGTGCGTTGGACACATACGAAGAAGTGCGTGATCCACCCGAGGACGTGTTCTTGTTCCGTGCGTGTTGCATGTACTACCTCCAGCTGTACAAGGAAGCCACGAAGGAGGCGCTGAAAGGTCCGTCGTCGAACCCGTTGCAGAACCGCATTCTGTTTCACTGTGCGCACAAGCTCGGGGACGAAGACAAGCTGCTCGTGTACCATCAAAAGCTGTCGCAATGCAAGGAGGACCAGCTGTCGTTGGCCGCCATCCACTACCTTCGCAATCACTTTCAAGAGGTGCTACTACTACTACTACTACTATATCCTTGCACAAGTCGTGCTCATGCGTGTATGATGGGCAGGCCACGGACATTTACAAGCGATTGTTACTGGAAAACCGCGACGACATTGCATTGAACGTGTATGTGGCCATGTGCTACTACAAGCTCGACTACTACGACGTGTCGCTGGAAATCATGCAAACGTACCTGCAAGCGTTTCCAGACTCGGTGATTGCCATCAACGTGAAAGCGTGCAACCAGTTCAAGCTGTACAATGGCAACGCAGCCAAAGACGAGCTGAGGGCGTTAACCGACAAGGGCTACAACATTGAAAACAACGACCTCGTGAATCACAACATGGTTGTGTTTGACGACGGGCAAAACGCGCTGCGGACGCTGCCGCAAGTCGTCGACTCGTTCTCGGAAGCGAGATTGAACTTGGTAGAGTACTGCTTGAGAGACGCGAGTGTAGTGTGCACAAGTCGTGGTACTCAGTTGCTGGTCGTTGGGGGGGTCTCTTGTTTAGGTGATTTACTACCTCAAGCACGGCAAAGTCCAAGAAGCGTTCGACTTGATCAAGGACATTGAACCGTCCACGCCCCAAGAGTACATATTGAAGGGTAAAGTGCACTCAGTTGAACATAGATTGTTGGTTTGTACAACTCTATGATGGCGGCGCTTGTAGGCGTCGTGCATGCGACACTGGGGCAGCAAACGAATTCGCGCCAACACATCAAAACCGCGCAGCAGTACTTTCAGCTCGTGGGGAGTTCGCCGACAGAGTGCGACACGATTCCCGGCCGCCAGTGCATGGCGTCGTGCTTTTACCTGCTCAAGCAATTTGAAGATGTCAACATTTACCTTAACTCGGTCAAGCAGTACATGTACAACGAAGACGACTTCAATTGGAACTTTGGCGTGTCGCTATGCAACACGGGAAGCCACGCCGAGGCGCTGGAGACGCTGCTGCGGGTACAATGTACATACAACCTCTGTTTGCCCATGAGATATAGTACTACCGGGTAGTATACTACTGTATGTGTGTAGATCACCAAGGACGAGTACAAACACGACTACTGCTACATTTCGTGGTTGTGCCGATGCTACATTCTCAATGCCAACCCATCGAGTGCATGGGATTTATACTTGAAGCTTGACAACTCGGACGAGTCGTTCAATTTGCTCCAGTTGATTGCGCACGACTGCTACAAGGTACGTACAGTTATGAGGTTTTCCACGGGGCCAGATCGATCGACTACCTACTTCTACTACGACTAACTACACTACATGCTGTGAACGATATATATATATATATATATATATGTTTGATAATACTTTGGACTAGATGGGCGAGTTCTTTTACGCGGCTAAAGCATTTGACGTACTCGAACGACTGGACCCGGACCCAGAGTACTGGGAAGGCAAGCGCGGCGCGTGTGTTGGAGTGTTTCAAAAGGTCGTGGCGGGCAAGGCGTCCCATGTTGAGCTGGAAGAAGTGTTTGGGATGCTCAAGACCAACAACAACCCCCAAGTCGAGTACATTGTGCGCATCATGAAGAAGTGGTGCACCGAAAACGGCATTTCGCTCTAGTTCTTGCCACGCCATCACCACCACCATCACGACATATACCTACCTACCTACCTGATAACTCATCCAAGGACAAATATATATATATATATATATCCATGTACTACGTAGTACTGTACTGGTACAATAGTATTGTCAAATTGATTCGAAACTGGAGCCCTCTGGAGAATCGATGAAAGAACCGCCTGAGCCAATCAAATCACGTCATGTCAAATTTCTGCCAATCCAAACGTTTGACCCCTCATATATTGGGCAAAACCATTTATATACTCATCGTTGTATCGAATAGTGTGTACAAGATTATTATGGTGCAAGTCATCTAAAGACTACAAGATCGGCCATCCTCAGGAGGAGACGTTTTACTATTAAACGCCTCGGTTCTTTCAGTTAAACCCACGAAATGTTGACGTTAAATCATTATTAGATACGTGTTTTACCTGGAAATTAGGTTAAACATTGTGAATAATCCTAACGTTAATACAATGAAAACGTTCGTACGGATAAGTGCTGGATACAAAGACCAAGATATACTTGATACTCCCGGCCAAAATGTACCTGGTTCCATATATCTCCGTACAAAAATTTAGATTCTACTACGTAGTATTACTCATTCAATTTTTCACCAATCGAAAATCTGAACCGTAACTTCCCTGTTGGGCTTGTCCAGTTCTATCGTTACTAACGTTACGGTATATTTTCCTAAATAATATTAATACAAAGTTGGAATAGCTGTCGAAGTCAAGGCATTTATTTGTAGTCTTTACGTGACTTGCACCATAAATAGGATCAAAAGGAATCGAATGCTATTAATTGGTGAAATGACTCTCAAGTCCAAATTTGGGTGAAATGCACAATACTATTTTGTACTAAGTTATTTAGTACTACTATATATTCGTTTGCCCGTCGTCATAGACAAGTCAACCACCACCATCCACCACATCCCTCCCCCCTTGTCACAGGTACAATCATAACATAGTTATGTTCCTAGTGATCATAGGTGCAGGACACAACCACGTCACACACCCGAGTGGCAAATTTCACACACGGCAAGCCGATGGAGCGGCGACTCGTTGACAAATGTGCAGGCGTCGCACACCCACGACGACGTAGCCGTGTCGCCGCGTCTGGACATGGCCGAGTGTCGAAAGCCGACTTGGCTGTCGTCTTCTCCGTCATGTGTGACAAGGTCCAGCACCTCGGATGGGGTTTCGTCCGTCAATGCCTTCAAGTAGACCACGTCGTGGGCTTGAATTCTACGCACCAGTGTCACACATATAAACAAAAAACAATCCACTTGATGACGTACCCAGCATGTTTCAACGACGTCGCGTTGTCGAGCAAGGTGCCGCCAAAGTAAAGCAACTGGTGGCTCGGCGCCGTCTCACACTGCTCCAAGATGCGATGCTTGAGCAGTGACACCGTGTCATCGGCGCTGCATGTGACACGGTACGTCGGGTTGGTCCGGCGGGTACTGCGACTCGACCGCCGCCGCCGCTGCGCCGCCGCCCTGCTCTCCAACTCGTCCTCGTCGTCGCCCCCTTGTTTGCTCGTCGACGGAATCGCCTGCCCAAGACATGACACTCGGCATGTATATATGTCGGCAAACTCACCTCTTCTTCGCGCAGCACGACCACGGTCACGGGCTGGTTTTGAAAGTCCACAGACAACGCTACCTTGGCCGTTTCAAGCTTGAGTTCACACAGTTGGCATCGAATGTCTGGTTGGTTCACAAACCCATGCTTGTCGTCCAGCACGCCCCATTGCCCCCCCCCTTGGCTTTCCGTCATGACAAAGCTCAACGGAGCGCTCGACGCCGCCTTGTATACGAGGCAGAGGTCGGCCCATTCATCCGCAGAAACCATCGCCATATCCATCTTCTTGACTTCGTCGTCGCCATGTTGTAGTTGGTCGGGCCATTTCAGTCGACGGATAGGGTCGACCATCTGCTCTAAAATCCAACTTGGCACGGCGTACTTGCCGTGGTCACATCGCGCTAGACTGGAAATGTCTGACGGAGCGTCCTCTGCCACGTCGTCAATGTACTGCTTCCACTCGTGGAGCCACGCCGACGACATCAACACCACCGGCTCGTTAGCAGCCACCCAGTCGACTCGATCGAGCGGCCGCTTGTACAGGCGAAACAGCGCCGGGTAGTCGGACAGGAGCTGGTTGCGCTCGTTCTTGGCGTGGGTGTGAGCCACTTGCTGCGTGGATGCGTCTGCGACACAATCGGGACACTCGACCGTCGACTGGGTGGGAAACACGGCGCTCACAGAGTACTCTGCCGCGAGTTCCGCCCAGAGCGCAGCCGAAATGGACCGGACCTGCTTCTTGAGCTTGGGCTGGAGGTTGCCGTGGTCGCATTGAAGGTCCTCGTTAATAGCTGTGGATGCGAGCCAGTCTTGCGCTTCAAGCACTTTCGACGGCGGCTGCTTGAGGCCGAGCGCGTGGTGCACACATACCTTCCAACATGAAATCCACTTGCGACTAATGACAAACTGGTCATCCGAGTCCTTGGCCAGCAACGCCAAGTTGCGCTTTAGCCGGTCGTGGGTACACTGGGACACTATCGACGCACTCGCACTGGTTTCCACACACTCGTCGCACCTACATCCGTCACAATATGTAGTAGTTACTATATATTGTCGATAATACAAATTTGGGGAGGGGGTGCAATCGAACATCGCGCCAACCAAACCGATCCACAATCGATCTGATTGGTTGAATTTCATTGAGAAATGGGTTTTGATTGGCTAATATTTTTGAGCTCATCTGAAGTAGCCAATCAAATCGACTTAAATACCAACGAGAAACCACAACACAACACGAAATTTCACTCGAAAGCACAATAGTTATTGTCGATTTGATACAAATTTGGGGAGAGGGTGCAATTGAATCGCGCCGACCAAACCGATCCACAATCGATCTAATTGGTTGAATTTCTTTGAGAAATGGGTTTTGGTTGGCTATTATTTTTGAGCTCTTCTAGCCAATCAAATTGATTTAAATACCAACGAGAAACCACAACACAATGAAATGTCACTCGAAAGCTCACAATATATGTGAACAATCGATTATTCACCGGAATCCAAAGTATATTTAGAATCACACGAATATTTTAAAAAGATAATATGCCCACACAGTGTCTCATATTGTTGGGGTTTATTCTAAACTGGAGAAAAAGACAATGTATCATCGACCCATCCAAATAATGTGCAGCAAAAGAATTTAGCCAATCAGATTGCAGGAAAGATCGTCATTCAACCAATCAACAATTAGTTAGTGTATCACTTCAATTTTCGTGTGATGATTGATGGGCATCATCACCATACTGGACATGTTTGGACATATAAAATTCAGCACAAAAAATCGATCCATGGATTTGGCAAATCAGTATAAAAGAGTCCAAATTTGGGTAAAACGACAATACCACGATCGCAATACAGTACTCAATTTTTTAAAAATATTTTCAAAAAAAATAAGTGTGAAAAAATATACATCAACAAAGATATAGGAAGGCTCTGCACCAGTAGTTTTCCGACGACAACACGACCGACGGCCCCGCGTGGACGACGCTGCACAACTCCCGGTACAGTTGCTCCGACACGCGCTTGAGTTGGCGGCTCTTGTCTGGCCGGAGCTTGTTGTGGGGGCACACATACTCGGTCGTTTCGGAGGTAGTTGCTGCGACACTGTGCCCAATGTCATCGCCCAGAACCCACGCCTTCAACACACTCGCGTCGATCCAGTAAAACTTGGCTGCATTTCCCAAAGGCGTTTCCATGTGGTACTCGTACTTGGCCTTGCGCACTGCAATGGCTTCCGTGAGGTCGACCACCTACATAGCAGTGTTGTCCCCCCTCAATGATAAGAAAAGTACGAAAAATATACTCAAAAGAAGAAGGAAATGAAATATATCATAGCACCCACCGGAGACTACACACTAATAACCCCCACACAATCCGTATCCGCCAATCGAATCGATAATATCAACACTTTGATTTGCTCTACATTACCACAACCACCAAATGTGAAACTTTGCAGGATGATAAGTATATTCGCCAAATCCAGCGATCGATGTTTTGTACTAACGTTAGTATTGAAACTGTCCTGTGGTGATGTCAATCACACTAATTTATGTCACACACTAATTATATGTTGACGGTGGTTTTCTGCAATCTGATTGGCTCACTCTTTCTGCCAATATATTTCGTCTGTAATATTGTCAAGTCGATTCGAAATTGGAGTGGGATGCTCAATCGAATGAGCAGAAAAACCAAATCGGCAGACAATCGATCGACCAATCAAAAGCCAGAATACTAATCAAGTGGCCAATCAAATCCACTCTTCGACCAAATCAACACCGAATTAGTGTTTGACTGAAATTAGTGTAACATTGGACGATGTTTACATACAAATGTCAGTACAAAGTATCGATAGATAGATTTGGCAAAGAATCAGCTCAAAAGTCAACCAAATGTTGGGTAAAAGGACAAATACATTTGTGTCGATTCGTACATTCTTCATGTCGTTCGAGTTAAAATAAATACAACAATATATATATTGTGAATTATTCGCTATAAACTTTTAAATTCGCGCGATTTGTCGAATCAATATTAAATCACGCTGGAGTTCTGATTGGTTGAATATACTTGCCCTTTCTGTAAGATCCAATCAAATCCACTCCCCTTCGTACCGAATCCACAATATATATATATATATAAATCTACAGTCTCAACCAAATGCGGACTACATCCCATCACTCACACATCCATCCAATAGATCAACTACCACCACGGCCGGCCACGAGACAACTGAATACTCTCCACATATCCAACACATTTCCAAGTCATCATGTTGGGACCCTTCCATCCTCCCTACCCGAGCAGCGTACGCGGTCACGTTCTGTTGTAGCGCGGCATTCGCGGCTTGGACTTCAGCGACGCGCACTGGACTCGGCATCGCGGCGTCGGGTTTTGGCTTGTCCTGGGCGCGGGGGACTCGGGAGTAGATGAGCATGTATGCTTCCTTGGAGGCCGCCAGGAACGACGCCGGCGGTCGCCGGATCGGGTCCACTTGCGTGTCATCAAACAAGTACCAGGCGGCGGTAGACGGTTCAAAGATATGCGCCGTATAATGGCCGGCGGACGCCGTGGTCCCGCGGTGATTGAGCATCCCCACGAGTCGGTACGAGACTTTCGACGACGGAAGCAGGTCCCGCATGCAAATCTCCGCCGGAATCTCCACTGCATCCTGCACCTTCTTCTTCGTGCATGTCTTGACATCGTACACAAATCGCATCAGGTGCAGCATGAGCGTCGGCGGCAGCGTCGACTCTTCGATCTCGATGTGCCGCGTCGCGTTCTGCTTGGCTTGACACGTTTCACAGTAGTATTGATTATCGCCGTCTAGAACTTCGGGCGCCAAGTACGACTACATGATTTATGATTGTTATAGTTCAAACTTGGACGAGATATATATATTATATATATATATATATGACACGGAAATACATTCAATCGTGATACTATGTTTGTTTTGAAACTAAAGACATGGATATATATGTAGATAGATTGAAACCAAAGTCCATATATATATATAAGATAGGTCCAACAATTTTATAACGTGTATTCATCATCATATGTTGAAAAAAGATTGCACGTGGACAAGATATATGATATGGAAACAACAAATGATACTATGTTTTGAAACCAAAGCGATGGATATACTATATATATAATGAAACCAATGTCTATAAATAATAATACATAATAATACATCCTGTAGGTCAAACAATTATTGTTCATTCGATTCGAAATCGGAGTGCTCAATCGAATATGAGCAGCACATTAAATCGGCAGAGAAAAATATCGATTGACCAATCAAAACACAAGACATGAATCAACTAGCCAATCAAATCCACTCTTCGAAGAATTCAACATCGAATTAGTGTGTGATTGAAATTAGTGTGATACTGGACGATCTTTACAAAAGTCAGTACAAAGAATCGATCGATAGATTTGGCAAAGAATCAGCACAAATGTCAACCTAATATTGGGTAAAAGAAACAGTTGACTATGGTCGACAACCAAAACCATTAAAAATAATAATAATATAAAACACCCACTTGTTTCGAACCAAAACTGTAGACATATATATATATATATATGAATAATAAATCCTAGTGGACAAAATACAGTAAAACTAACCTGGAACGAACTGTGGATAGAGCTATGGCCTTTGATGTTGAGCGACTAGCGGAATACCGTCACAATGATGACGCTCTTGGTGGTCAGAGAAACATGGAGGAATAGGGGCATACCAGCTCAAAGAACGAGCTGCTGCGCGAGGACCGCGCGTTGCACCTTCCACAGGTCGTCACGTAATGCATGCTGCCTCGGAAATGGCTGTCGATGTGGTTCCAGTGTGCGCGATGCTTGGAGTAGACGAAAATGTACTGCAAGTGCGTGAGCAGTAGCTTGGTGAATTCCTACAAATTCGATAAGTCGAGATATATATATATTTGTGTACATGGGCATCTTGCTGGACAACGTTGTTCAACTCCAACGTCGATGCAAACTCCTGGGGGTCGGCGTACGACTGAATACCGAGCTGCATGTGCGCAAACAGTCGCTGCAGCGCTTGCATCTGCGCGAGTAGCACCGGACTCACACGCTGGGTCTCCTTGGGTTCCCATTCATGCACCGCGCGACGGAATGACAAGTTCATGAACAGGCATTGCACCATGCTGTTCACGTAGCATGTCGCGCCCAAGTTGCGTAGACCACATGGACGGGAAGCGGCATTGCCGTTGTTATGGATGCTTGTATCGTCGTCCAAATGCGTTCGGAGCATATCGGATGGATCCGGACCGATGTCAACCAGTGCCGAAGGAGTCGACTTCCAGTTGCCCTGCCATGTGGAAGCAAGCATGATGTCATGGAATGCTCATCGTTGTGTGTTATATGATGATGTCGCTTGACTTACATCTGCATACTCGCCAAACCCAAACAAACAGTTTGGGTTGTCGTGGCAGTTGGGCTTTTGCCGCGCCGCTCGAGGCTTCTTTGTCGGCGTTCCACTGCTCTTCTTCGGTGCGTTCACGGGATGATGGTCTTCCAACGTACATGCATGCAATAAGCATCCATACGGGTCGGCCACCGACGGGGTATCTACCTCCTCTTCCTCGTCCACGTCAATGGGTGTGTCCTTGGCCCCGACCCCGCGCTTTCGCTTGAGCACACTCATGTGTGCCAACTTGTCGAAAAATTACTACCAACCGTCCATACAAACACCAAGTCTAATTATCCGAATAAATACTTAAAAGTATTATATATGTATTTTCTATCAACCGGCACAACTCACAATCGGGGGTCGTTCGTACCACCGTGTGAAGTCTAACCCATCACGCTCTGCATGATCAACATGGAGCCCGTGGTTGCGAGGATGCACTTCATGCAGGGGACTGCTATCACTACTGTGCAGTGCCATGTCTCTCCAGCTGCAGTTGTCTCCAAATCTCAACACATCTTGGAGTGGCGCATCGCTCGTAACCACGTACGCTTGCCGTTTTCCAGGAGAATCGTTACTGGCATGATGCCCTTGTAGACAGCAAAGCATTCACGATCCATCTCATGGAACTACATGTACAGCGTCGTACTCTCGGCACCCTTGCATCAAGCGTCTCCAGCCGACGTCCATTTTCATGCCAACAGAGAGCAATTGGATGAACGTACATCGTACACGTACAATTTGTACGAGTATTTCATCCGGATACGTTGAACACATTATCCGGCGTGGTGTTTAATGGTGGATGGTCGATATGACACGGGATTGGCTATGATTTCCACCAATCACAAGCAACGAACGAGCCGTTGGCTGCAATGGCCTTGGAAATGACGGGAGGGCGGGATCACTCCTGTATTAGCTCCGTCTGAACAGCATCTAACATGGGTAAGTCTCATACGACTTCCCGTGCGTCGCGTTGAGATGCTGTACGACGTCGAGGGATATCTCCACCATGACCGACATCCGCTGGATCGCGCCTCGTGCCTGCTGCTCACGCGGCTGGGTGCGGTGGAATGCGGAATCCCTGAGAGCGAAGCATCGTCACTGCTGTATCCCCGTCGTGCAGCATTTGAATGATGAAACACGGGGCCATCTAGTGCCTTCCCGTGTGCTTATGTGCTCTCCCCTTAGGTATCTCTCGTGACTCCAAGCACAAGCGCCGCGAAACCGGTGGTAAGCGCAAGTTCTTCCGCAAGAAGCGAAAGTTCGAATTGGGTCGCCAACCCGCCAACACCAAATTGGGTGCCAAGCGCGTGAACCCTGTCCGCGTGCGCGGCGGCAACCAAAAGTTCCGCGCGCTTCGCTTGGATACGGGCAACTTCTCGTGGGGCACTGAAGCCATCTCGCACAAGACCCGTATCTTGATCGTGTTGTACAACGCGTCCAACAACGAATTGGTGCGCACGAACACGTTGGTGAAGAACGCCATCATCCAAATCGATGCCCACCCGTTCCGCCAATGGTACGAAGCCCACTACGGCGTCAAGATCGGCGTGAAGAAGTCGCAAGAAGGCGAAACCGAAGAGGCCGTCAAGCAATCCAGCCACGTGCAGCGCAAGTTGGCCACCCGCCAACGCACCCGCGAATTGGACCCTCGCCTTGACGAACAATTCGTGCAAGGCCGCTTGTTGGCTGCCATCTCGAGCCGCCCCGGTCAATCCGGCCGCGCCGACGGGTACATCTTGGAAGGCAAGGAATTGGAATTCTACCAACGCAAGTTGGCCACCAAGAAGCAAAAGAAGTAAACTGGACGACACGCTTTACTTTGGTTCAGATGGGAGTTCTAATATATTAGCTTTCCAAGCTACGAATGCTTTTCTCGCTGTATGTATACACTGTACTTTAGCTCAACATTAATCTCAGGTGTCAAGATAGTTCCAGCAGCAACTTGGTCTCGTAGTCGTCTGTTGTGGTGACGACTTTGGCAAAGTCGTCATATGATAAAAAGTCTCCAGATGCATCCGTGGACGCCTCTTCCAGTGTTCGACTAGCCAAGACATCTAGCTTCTGCAACATGTTGAGTCAGTCAGGTTGTGAACCCCAACTCCGATAACTATGATCATAGATAGGTAGGTATGCATGGTCTTGCCTTGTCCAACTCGTCTTGATCAGCAACGTCCCCAAAGTCCACGACTAGCTTCATGTATGCGATCAAGTCGGGCTTGGTGATTCGGCCATCTCCGTCCATGTCTTGTAGTTTAAACGACACTACAAATCACAAACTAACGTAATGAATGGAAGGTATATAGTTGTCGTACGGCGCAGTTTGCTATCCCTGGAACCATGGTACGTGAAGATGGCCATCAAGCTTGCAAAGTCCTTTAAAGAGAATGAAGGTGTGTGTGATGATATACTGTATATATAGCAGCAGCAGAAGAGGCCATACTGAACGTACTACACACACCTGGAACGCAATGGTTTGGGAAGCGGACAATTCAAACAGTGAAAACAGGCGATGCCGAAGCGGATTCACGGCCACCGCTAACTCGTACAGTATATTTCACGACGGAAAGGCTGTACATTTGATTGACCATGAGGCCTGTGCGTACCAGGAATGGCAAAGAATTGGTCCTGGGTCATGTCGTCGCTTGGACTCCATTTTAAGAACTGCACCCGCATCTTGATGATGTCTGGGATCGGCACTGAGTGAACGAGATAAGTGTTGTTCATGAATGGAGATACGATAAAAGGTACGTTGCGTGAGCATGCGAATCTCTTCCAACCGCTCCAGGCTCAAGTCGCATTCTACCTCCTTGGACGCACGATGGCCCATGACCAGGCAACGGAGTGTAACTGCCTCGTGAAGACACGGGTGAAACTGTTGCCTGTCAACTTTCCAGCACAACCGCGGCCCATACGCATCCCGTCCTTCGTCTGCACCTCCATGCTCGTGGCAGCTGAGCATATACTGTGGCTCCTTGGCGAGTGCCCCTGGTTTGGTCAATCAAGCGATCGCATCGTTCAGCAATACGACATAATGCCACGAGTGGCGTACACACTATGCCACTCATGTGCGAAGGTGGCCACGATGTTCCCTTGCTCTGGTTTAATCGTCAAGGGATACATACAAGTACGCTAATGCTGATGAACTCGATGCCGCGCACCTTTCATGTTCAAAGCAAGCGGTCTGATGGGTTTGATTGGCTGATCAAGTGTCTTCGAAATACGATTTCTACAACTTCGAGGTTTGTGTTGCACTTGGAATATGTATGGATCGTATACTTTTGTCGGCAGATCAATCCTGCTCAACGTGAGGGCAGAACAACTTCGGCGATTTTGAGATCTCGAAAGCATCATGTCGGGCGATGGATATGACAGACACATTACGATCTTCTCCCCGGAAGGCCGCTTGTTTCAAATTGGTATGTAACATGGCGAAATGGAATGTGTGGGCATGAGGTTGATGTGGATATATGTATCTAGAATATGCGTTCAAGGCCGTGAAGGAAAGCAACTTGACGTCGGTCGCCGTGCGCGGCGCCACGTCGTGCGTGGTTGTGACACAAAAGAAAGTCCCCGTACGTCGTTGATCTCGTCTTTCCCTTACCCATGCATTGTCGACTTCCCATGGTATTGGGCTCATGGCACCTCGTAGGATAAATTGATCGACCCCGACTCCGTGACCAACATCTTCAAGATCACGCCTGCCATCGGCGCCCTCTTGACAGGACTCTACGGTAGTCCCCCACATTGCATGAGTCATGAAGAAACTGCTTCTTACATGACCATTCTTACATGTAGCCGACGCCAAGGCTCAAGTCCAACGGCTTAGATACGAAGCCCATGAATTTGAAAACAAGTTCGGGTACCCCGTGCCCGTGCACGTGCTTGCGAAGCGTTTGGCCGACATTTCCCAAGTTCGTTTCTTCATCACATATTTGCCTTCCCTTGTCTCATCCTCGTCCGCGCAGGTGTACACCCAACATGCGTCCATGCGTGCGCTTGGCGTGGTGACCATTCTCATTGGGTATGTTGATCTATTCTGCAGCAACCGCCTCTACCTCAAAGCCATTTTCCACGACCTCATTTTGATCTTTAGCATCGACGAAGAGAAAGGCCCCCAGCTTTACAAAGTCGACCCCGCCGGCAACTACCGCGGATACAAGGCGACGTCCGCGGGCGTGAAGGACCAGGAAGCGACCAACTACTTGGAGAAGAAAATCAAAGCTAACGACAGCTTGGACCACGAAGGCACGGTGCACTGCGCCATCACGTGCTTGCAATCGGTGTTGTCGGCGGACTTTCGTCCCTCGGAAATTGAAGTCGGCGTCGTTGTCCAAGGCGAGCGGTACGTTGCATGGACTTGCTTGCTCAGTAAAGTTGAATACTGATATGGTTGATGGAGCAGATTCCGCAAGCTGACCGAAGAGGAAATCGACGTGTACTTGACAGCCATCAGCGAACGCGACTAAGTCGACTGCACGACGAAGATGCTTCATGCAAGACATCTCGGAATGCTTCGGTCCCGCGATCACATTAAGATAATGCAGGGTTACGTAGTACGGTATTGCGTCTGTCGTTTAGGGAACAACGGCTTCTTTACAGCATACACGAACGATGGAGTGTGGACTCCAAGCATGCTCCAAGTGCTAAAGCAATCATCCTTATGCATCATCATAACAGCAGCCGCACAAATAACTGGGAAGGAACAAGGAGAAGTGTAGGGTAATTTATCAGCATATTGTTACGTATATCGATCATAAAGGGGGCTGATCGATTCGATTCGAGGGGCGCTCGACTTAGTCGGCCTTGATCTCCCCCTTTTCGGTCAAGAACGAAATCATGCGACCAAAGTAGACCAGGTAGCAGATGAGCATGAGCACCAACGTGATCACAAACACACCGGACCCTTCGCCTCCAGACGCGATGCCACCCTTTTCGTTGTAATGGACGTTGGAATACCCATAATCGCGGTAGATGGGGAAGCCCGTGAGCCAGAACAAGATGTTGCTCACGACAAGGTTGAATCCCCAGCCAGTGTTGTCTTGGATGTAGGCAAGGACGGTGCGCTTCGGCGCGGCGGCGGCGGGAGTGCTCATCTTGCTGCTTCACGGAATCGGTAGAATTGGCAAATGGTGGAGGTGAAACTCCTGCAAAGCGGATCACTTGGAATTTGTATGCCGACGGTATAATTTTAGCACAGCGGTAATATTTTAGAATATTTTAAGATCGTTACAACGTTCAAGATGTACTTGAACGATTACATTTCAATGCGTGAGCCACATCCGCTTCAATCGATATATGATTGGTTAAAACAAGGATGTAATCGATTTATGATTGGTCACACCGGAACAAATCATGTGCAACACTGGGACACTTGTTGTTTGGCATATAATGTAAAAAAAGGCAATCTTTTTGTAAAACCTTCGAATCACGCCAAATATTTCCATCGCGAATATTTCACCTTCGTGATTTGTACTTGACTTTTGTATACTTGCCCCATATTCTGTGACGAAAATACTTATTTCCATCCCGAATATTTCACCTTCGTGATTTGTACTTGACTTTTGTATACTTGCCCCATATTCTGTGACGAAAATACTTATTTCCATCCCGAATATTTCACCTTCGTGATTTGTACTTGATTTTTGTATACTTGCCCCGAATTCTGTGACGAAAATACTTGGACGTAATAACAAGTACAGTACAATAAAATGAGAATCACGACGAGGGTATTACGGCAGGGATTAAGAACGAGTCGAGATCGTCGGCATCGCCATCATGTGCATGTATTGAGAGGTTGCGCTTGCCTTCGAGGGCGACCTGCTGATCGTTGTAGTAGGCCATGTCGTCCAAGAGAGTCGTGGTGCTTGGATACGACATGTAGCAGTGCATGAACTCGGTCGCCTACG